GCACACGCCAGCACTCTGCAGGACAGGAGAGGAGGGGAATGGGGAGACAAATAAGAAACAGGGCGCCTGGGGGGCTCAGTGGGTTAAAACCTCTGCCTTCAGCTCAGGTCATGATCCCAGGGTCCTGGGATCGAGCCCCGCATTGGGCTCTCTGCTCAGCAGGGAGCCTGCTTCCCCCGCACCGCCTGTCTCTCTGCCTACTTGTGATCTCTCTCTGTTTGTCGAATAAATAAATGAGACCTTAAAAAAAAAAAAAAAGCAATAGGAGCGTGGCAGATCGGAGAAGGCTTCCTGGAGAAGGTGGCATCTGAACTTTCTCCAGGACCCACCTGCCAAACTGCCCTCTCCGGTCTGAGGTTTGCTCCCCCGGACATACCTTTTGCTCCGTATCCGAGCCTCCTCCCTCACTGTCTTCACCTAGTATCCCACGACGGTCCCAGACGGTGGAAACAAGACGGAGGTGGGCCCCTCTCATCAATGCAGACATAAGCACAGAGGGGTCCCTCCCCTCCTTCTCCTCAGGGAGCCTTCACTGAGCCACCCTGGGGGCTGAGAACCACATCTGCATTTCCCACGTCCTCTGCACAGTCATGCACAACTGGAAATGACGCCTCTTGGACAGACGGCCTCCTCTGTGCCTGGAACCGTGTGGGCCACCGCGAGCCCTCAGGGGCCGGCGAAGCATGTCCCCCAACGCCCAGTTCTTGCCTCGAGCCCCCACGAATGCCCGGCTGGCTCCTCAGGGCCATCTCTTGTCCACTTGTGGCTGAAGGCAGCTGCGTGCCGGTGGGGAACCGAGGCAGCTCCGGGAGGCTGGCTCCTTGCCCTACCATTCATTCATCCCTTTGTTCAACGGACAGGTAGTGTGAGCTTCTGGCCCTTGCCACCACCTCTCTGCAGCAGGTGCTGGGCCAGGGCTCTGGGCAGGAGAGACGGAAACTCTGCCCTGGGTGCAGTGACAGCCCGGGAAGCAGAGAGGCAAGACGGGAGGACAGGGGTGGGTCCTCTCCGCGGGCTGTGCCCAGCAGCCGTGCCAGGAACACTGGGTCAGAGGGCCTTGGCCTGAAGGCTCGGGGCCATGCGTCGTTGAAAGGGCGGACCCAGCTCACATGCAGGATCCACGGGGTGGGGGGCCCTGTCCTGCGGTCTGACCCCGAGGGGCCGGCGCGGGGGCCCAGGAGACACTTGAGAGTGGACAGCTCCTTCCTCCGCGCTCCGGGACCGAGACAGGAATCAGGAGAGGACCGACCTGGTCCTCGCAGCGCAGTCATCCCCGGGGCCAGCTCTGGGCTCCCAGAAGGGCCTCCTGGTGGTCGCAGAGCCCTCCCAGGCGGCTGGGAGAAGCCCGCGGTCTTATTCTCCTGATCTGTCACCACCTGCTGGCCAAAGAAGAAGATGTCGGCAGGAAGAGAGCCTGAGCGATGGAGTCTCATGACCAGTTGGCACAGAGATTTGTGCTGCTGTAAGGAGGCTTAGCGGGGCTGCCGCGAGGGGCCTCATTAATTCTCCAGGCTGAGCCCCAGACGGCGGAGGATTTGGCCTGTTCTCGCAGGCTGCTCACCTCCCGGAACTACAGCCGCACTCGACACCTCGGACTGGGCGGAAGTCCAACCCCAGAGCTAATCCCAGATCCCGCTGCTGCTAGAGCGCCCCTGCTCTGATGGACAGCGGCAGGTCTGGAGACACTCACAGGTCACCGCCTCCCCTCTGTATGCTCCAGCTCAAAGCTCCACTTGTAGGGGGCGGAGGAGGGGAGGGGCATTGATTTAGTGTAAGGGACTCAGGTGTGCCTCAGGAAGGCTCGGGCCTCCCCCAGCGTGAGGGCCAGAGCGAGCAGCCAGTGCCCCCCCAGCTCAGGAAGCCACCTTGCAGAAGCAGAAAGCTGATGGTGCAGACACAGAAAGCAGGTCGGGGGTCTCAGGGAGGGAGGAGGGCAGCTCTACAAAGGATGAGGAATCAAGCCTTCTGCTATTCGGGGCAATCATCCCAAGAGGATGGGAGCACCTGTGCAAAGGCCCTGGGGTCAGAGCATTCTTTGTGTGTTCAAGGAACAGGAGACCAGCGGGTTCAGAGGTAGGAGAGAAAGAGAGTCATCAGGCGTCAGATCATACGGGGCACTGTAGGACTTCAGCTTTTACGCCGAGAGAAATGGGGAGTATTGCAAGGTTTGAGCGGAGATGTGACCCGGCCTGGTTGATGTTTTATGGGGTAATTCTGCCTGCCAGACAGACAGGAGGATAATAAATCTGTTGGAGGCAGGCATGGCTCATCACCTGAGGACATATGTGTGGCATCCCGGAGGTGGCGGGAGACACAGCAGGGGACACACGGGGCTTCAGAGGCTCTGGTCTCAGCTGCACAATGAGAACGAGGACCCCCCCCCCCAGCTCAGAAAAATATGGGAAGATAAAGCGAGCGGCTCAGCAAACCTCTGACTGAAGCAGGTCCCTTTAGATAGATACCCCCACCCGGCCCTCACACCCCCAGGACCCCCGCCAGAAACACCAGCTCTACATTTCCCATCCTAACGGCCCGTCTCGTTCTGGGAGGACTGATAGGCACACACACACCCACGTGAAGACGTCAAGTGAAATTAAAACTCCGTGACGTCGCCGCATGAAGCAGGCACAGTTACAGTAAGAGCAAACTAGACGTCAGGGGTACGTGCGGCATTTCTAAGACACGGGCAGAATGTGTGACTTGAAAACGTGCCCGGGGACAAACCCAAGACGCACAACGTCACACCACCAGGTGCTCCAAAGGGAAGCCCAAGGGCGTGTTTCCCAAGAAACACACGTTTCTGGACCAAAATTTCAAATGTGTGTTCTCTTCAATCCAGAAGCTTCTCTTCTCAGAGGAGCTCAGAGGTGTGCTGGAGGACACCCGTACGTGCCACGGCGTTCGTTCAATCCCAGCAGGATGCAGAGGAAAACTAGCTGAACCCTCGCCCCAGCGGACAGAGCACATAAATCACAATGTGGCTCACGGCCAGGATCCCCTGCTGGGTCCGCAGGACGGACCACACGCCACACGGGGAGTTCAGGAAGGAATGGACGCCGGGCCTGCGCTGGGGGCTGGGGGGGCATGGGGGAAGCCTGCTCTCTTCCTGGGGGTCTGGGGCCGTACTGCCCCGCCTCAGACACGGGGAGGGGCTGGGGAATCCTGGGCCTGGGGGTGATGGGACTAGTCGGAAGGACGCCAGCCATGTTAATTTTTAATAGGAACTAACATTATTTAATAGAATAAAATAAATGAAATAAAATATGGTTAATGTGCTCCCAAAAGGCACCAGAACCATTCAGACCCAGAGGGAGCTCACCTTCGGGTCTTCCAGCCCCAGGGGAAGGACCTGGTTTCCAGGCACAGAAAGGCCGCCAGTGCCATCCAGTGGCCAGGGTGAGTGCTCTTCAGAGGGATGAGGAAGCCTGAAGTTAGGCATGGACAGAGCTGCTCCGCGGCCAGTACCGTTGGAGGCACAGGTGCTCCTGGTGAGCAAAGTGGTCTCAGTGCCCCGTGTTCAGGGAGCTAATGTCCTATTGGCAGGTGAGGGTAACACGAAGCCAACAAGTACACCTCTGAGGCCAGACGGTGGAGAAACAGAAAGCAGGTCAGGGGTCTCAGGGAGTGAACAGGGCAGCTCTACAGGGGGTGAGGAATCAAGCCTTCTGCTATCCGGGGCAATCATCCCAAGAGGATGGGGGCACCTGTGCAAAGGCCCTGAGGTCAGAGCATTCTTCATGTGTTCAAGGAATAGAAAGGAGACCAGCAGGGACAGAAGTAGGAGAGAAAGTCAGAGAGGTGTCAGGTGTCAGATCATACGGGCCACTGGTGGGACTTTGGCTTTTACTCCAAGAGAAATGGGGAGTATTGCAAGGTTTTGAGCAGAGATGTGACCTGGCCTGGTTGATGTTTTAAGAGGGTAATTCTGCCTGCCAGACAGACAGGAGACAGATAGCCAAGGGACAACATCAAAGCTTGGAGGGCAGTTAGGAGGCTACTGCAATGGTCCGGGTACAAGATGAGGGCAGCTGCTCCAGGGCGGGACCCATGGGCACAGTGAGGAGTCAGGTTCTGGACATGGGGTCTGAGGGAAAGAGATGTGTTGTATTAAAAGGTAAATATCTGGGTTCTGTCCCCAGTTCCCGGCACACAGCTCCTAGCAAATAATCACAAATAAACCTGAAAAGGGGTCGGGGCGGGGGGGTACCGCTGAATTTGTCGTCGAATTGGGCAGAGGGGCAGGTGACAGCCAGAGGGCGGTCAGTCTTGTGGAGCTGAGCCTTAAACCCTCAGAGCCTGAGCTAACCCCAGCTTACCTCCCACCATCCAGGGCCCCGGGGTCCCTCGTGGAGGGCTCTGATCCCCCAACAGGAGCAAACCGAGGCTGGGAGGAAGCAAGTGCCGGAGGTGGCGGTGTGCAGAAGGGCGGTTGCTGTGTCAAACCACGGGGTCTCCAGAAACTGCCAGGCAACAGGGATCCGCTGCTCACGCCTCCCCGCCATGGAGAGACCCTAATTTCTGCCAACTGACAAAAGAGGAAGAAAGCCTGTGCCTGTCTTCCCCGAGGCCCGGTTCTGTGGCCATGGGGCAGGGACCGTTTTGCTTTCTGGCGGCAGTGTCTCCTGGCTGAGCGCCAGCAAGCAGCCCGCCCTGGCTGAAACGCCCACCTGGGTGCCCTCGTGGCTAGCAGGATGGGCCGTGGGGCTCAGGCAGGCTGGCCACCCCGGCGAGACTGGGGACAGGCTCCCTGGCCGGGCCGGAGTGGCTTGGGAAGGAGTTCCCCTGGTGACTCACGGGCCCCCACCCATCCTGAGAGTCCACACCCTGGCTGCCGGCCAGAAAGGCACCGGTGCCATGTGATTCTTGGCCCCGCCCCACCCCAGGGCGGCTTGTCTGGGCCCAGAACCGCCCGAGGAGGTGGCCCCTCCCCTGCCCCAGGCACACCCAGCCTGGTTTCCTCTGCGGGGGTTCGTGGCTTCCGTTCTCACTCTGGCTCTTCTCCGTGGACAGTGCCCCAGGGCCGAGAGGGGCCTGCAGGGGGCCTGGGAGCGCTTGGCTCTGAGCTCAGTCATTTGAGGACCGCCAGGAGCAGAGAGGGTGAGCGTCTCTGGCACATCCGTCCACTCTGCTGGCCGGCCGCACCCCACTCCAGCGCCCTGACAGAGCACAGAGCTCCTTCTTCCCGGGGCCTTTCCTCGCTCTCCCCCCCACCCCCACCCCCACCCCCTCGCTCTCCGCAGAGGCTCTGGGGTTCACACAACGGGGTTCTGAGTGCTGCGTAGGAGTCTGCCAGGTGCAGAGGAATGGTCGCAGTGGGGGACAGGGGAGGGACAAAGAGGAAGGGATGCCACTGTCCTCCCTCTGCCTGACGCCCCCCTGCACCCCCAGCCCCGCCCCCGTGGACAACCCGAAGGGCGTCCGCAGGGCAGAGATGGCCAGCGGAGTCGAGTGGCGGCTGGCCCGGTACCTGGATGTGTTGGAAAAGGAGATGCTGAAGGAGTTCCAGCTTCGGCTGCCTGAGAAGCCCCTTGGCAGGCCCCCACTCCACCTCACCCCGGCTTGTGGGAAGCAGCCAGGGGGCCTGGAGGTGGCCTCGCAGCTGGTGGCTCAGTACGGGGAGCAGCAGGCCTGGGACCTGGCCCTCCACACCTGGGAGCAGATGGGCCTGAGCCAGCTCTGCACCCAGGCCCGGGGAGAGGTGGCCTTGATGCCAGGTGAGTGCAAAATCCCCCTCTGTCCGCGGGCCTGGCCCCTGACCCCCCGGGGGACCCCCACCCTGGAGCCCCCTCCAGGCCTTCCTCTGGGCAGCGACTCTGACCCTTCTCCTGGCCAAGTGCATTTCTAGGCCCACATGGGTTCCCCAGGGCGCCTGGGGGGAGAGGCTGACGTCCAGAGGCGGGGGAGGGAGGCCCACACAGGGGCTTGGCGCCGGCTCCCAGGTGCGCTCCTAGGTGCACACGCTCCGCTGCGCTGGTGGTGTAGACCCCAGAGCTGCACAGGTGTTAACCCCGCAAGCCCCATCCCGCCTCTACCTGTTCGGACTGTGAGAGCGATCATGGAGTCGTCCGCGGGAAACATTTAGCACAGAGCCTGACACCTCGTGAGTGCCCCAGAAATCTGGTCTCCACGGCTCACGGGTCCCTGGCCTCTCCGGGCTTCTCCCGGTGGAGACAGCAGAGCAGCTCCATGCCCAGAGCCTCGGTCCCCAAGTCCTGGCCCGCCCGGCGACAAGCCCCCACCTCTGTCTGCTGCCCGCAGCTGAGTATTCCTGGTTGCCCTGCTCCCCGAGCGCACCCAGCATGCAGTCACCCAGCGGGCCCACCTCCACCAAGGTGCTGTCATTTGTCCAGGACCCACCGACTAGGAGTTGGAGACAGCTGCGGGGCAAATTCAGACGCAGCCTTCAGAACCGTAAGCCTGGCCCGGGATCTCCTGCTGGTTCCACCCAGATGAGCCTAAGGCTGCACGGGGCTCTGGGTGGGGCAAAGGGGAAAGCAGCAGGGTGGGGGGCCAGGCTGGGGTGGCGGAGGCAGGCGGCCTGGAAGTGATCTTCTGGAAGGTTCCAGCGCTGAGGTGACAGCCCGTTCCAAGTGAGAGATGGGGACAGGAGAGCCAGGCGGGGTGGCCGGCGTATTACCGGGCCGGAGCTTCATGGGCAACACGGCCCTTCCCCAGGCAGAGCTTAGCAGGTTGTCTTGGAACCGAAGATCCTCAGGGCCACCGTGGTCTAGAAGGTTCCACGGTGGACCCTGCTCTGCAGATGAGCCCCAGAGGAGGCCAGGCTCATTCCTCAGCCCCCGTAGTCCCCTCTCCTGACGTCTCGTATTTCGACTTCCACCATCCTGAGTCACCCAAGCCAAAGATCTTTTTTTTTCTTTTTAAGATTTATTTATTTTAGGAAGGGGACCGGGGGGCAGGAGCAGAAGGGAAGAATCTCGAGCAGGCTCTGCACTGAGCAAGGAGCCCAGCACCAGGCTCAAGCAGACAACCCTGAGATCACGACCTGAGCCAGACTCAGAGTCACGCTCACCCGACAGCTCCATCCGGGAACTCCTGCCCAGGCTTCAGATCGTAACCACATCAGGGCTCGGAGAGGCCCCTCTACCCAGTGTGGAAGCGCTGGTCCACACTCACGCAGCGCTTGCAGACAGACCCAGGGCTGGAACCTGGAACCAGCTGCCGCTCTGTGGAAGGCCCCATTGTTGATCTTGCAGTGCCTCTGCTCTCCCTCCCGCTGGTGCCCAGCATCCCGCTCCTCTCCCGAGCTCGATCTCCAATGCCCTCCTTTCCCTTGACACCTGCTTTCTTTTTTTTTTTTTCCTGCTTTATGTGTGACCAAAGCAAGTCACTTCATCCCCACCGTGTTTCCGCTTTCCCCTCTAAGCCTTCAGTGCAGCTCTACTGGCAAATGGTGTTGGGGGGGTTAGACCAGTCCCATGTCCCCCCACAAAGGCCTTCTGGTGCCCCCACCAGCATCCGTCTCCCTGACCCGTCCCATGCAGCACCTGGTTCCACTGTTTCTCTCCTGATGACCGGCCTCCTGTCCCAACTTGCTAGCCCTGTGTTTTGATGCTGCTTGCTAACTACTTGTACTAGAAATGAGGCTCCTGACCCCACCAAGTGGCTTCTCAGCTTCTCTCTGCCTAATGCCGGAAGGAAGTTCCAGGCCATTTACTAAGAGGATAAAGCCGTGTCTCTATCTTTATGATTCTTTTTGGCAATAGTTTTATTGAGACAGAACTCACCCATTTAGAGCGTCCAACTCAGTGGTTGCCGCCATCAATGTTAGAAGATTTTCATCACCCTCTAAAAGAACACCTTACCCACATCCTCTAAAAAAAAAAAAACAAAAAAACACCCTACCCACTCCCAAGAGAAACAAAAACACCTTCACACAAAAACATGTCCGTGAATTTTCATTTTACCATTACTCAACAAAGGCAAAAACCATCAACAACCCAAATGTGTATCCTCTAATGGACCAGTAAAATACAGTTTCCACGTACACAGAAGTTACGTTCCCATGAAAAAAGGAAGTGCTAGTATTAACCACACCACAGATAATGCTCAAATAATAATGCTTGATAGTAATAATGTTTGATAAGTCAAAGAAGCCAGTAAAAATGACCATATAGCACGGAATTCAATTTATATGGGATGTCTGGGATGGGCAAATCTAGAGAGGTAGAAAGTAGGTTCGTGGTTGACTATGGTTGGAGGAATGGGAGAGACAGTAGACGACCTTGAAAGGGTAAGGTGGGTTCTTTTTAATCTTTGTGGTTTTATTTTTTTTTAAGATTTTATTTATTTATTTGACAGACAGAGATCACAAGCAGGCAGAGAGGCAGGCAGAGAGAGAGGAGGAAGGAGGCTCCCCGCTGAGCAGAGAGCCCGATGTGGGGCTCGATCCCAGGACCCTGAGATCATGACCTGAGCCGAAGGCAGAGGCTTTAACCTACTGAGCCACCCAGGCGCCCCTCTTTATGGTTTTAAATCTGAGATTAGCAACACCCATCCCAAAGGACTGTATCGAGAGCTCAGAACAGAGGGTCTTGACATAAAGGGATGCTCAGGGGGCACCTGGGTGGCTCAGTGGGTTAAGCCTCTGCCTTTAGCTCAGGTCATGATCTCAGGGTCCTGGGATCGAGCCCCGCATCGGGCTCTCTGCTGAGCGGGGAGCCTGCTTCCTCCTCTCTCTCTGCCTGCCTCTCTGCCTGCTTGTGATCTCTCTCTGTCAAATAAATAAATAAAATCTTTTAAAAAATAAAAAAATTTAAAAAAAATAAAATTAACAAAAAGGGGATTATCAGTATTTAGCAATTTCCTTCTTGTCTTTCCCCGCAGGAGACCTTTCCTTGCCCTTTTACCCACTGCTTTCAAGCTCCCCAGACCAAAAGTCACCACTCCAGGAGTCACCAAGTGCTCCCACGTCCACGGCAGTCCTGGAGGACTGGGTGCCCCCATCATGGTCCAGCCACAAGCCCAGAAAGCAGGAGGCTCCCAGAGCTGAGTGGCCCCTGATTGAAACGTCTGGAAAGCACAGCAGAGGTGAGGCCCCTGCAGAGCTCCTGGAGAGGACAGGTGGGGCTGAGGCATGGGTGGGGCCAGACAGGCAGGCTGAGCACAGATGATCTCAAGTGCATCTGAAACCCCTCTCCAGAAAACCCCACTGGCTGGCGTCCCTCCATCGGGCTAAGCCACCGTTTCTAGGCGGCCCTTGGAAATTACAATGCAGGTGCTTTACCCAGTGCAGGAAACACATCAGGCTCTGTGCCCAGTGTGGGGCACAGCTGCTCAAATGTCACAGCCCCTCCCTCCATGGGGTCGAGACCCTTGTCGCCCATCGTGGAGATGAGAAACACAGGACTCAGAGAGGGAAGACTGCAGGTTCCTGGGGGCAGGGGTGGATTTCAGCCTCTGTGGTCTCCCTGATGCCAGAATCCATACCTTTAAGCCCCACATCACGCTCTCTCTGCCGTGTGGGCAACAGGGACAGTTAGGCTCACAGGCTCCTCATGCCACCCAGGGTCTTAGCCGTTGCCAAGACATACCTTTAGAACTGACCCTAATGCTCAAAGATGCGCTCTTGAAATCTGAGAGATGTTAAGGGGAAAGGATACTTTCTGCGCCCAGGTAGGAGTGAACTTGTGGAATTCAGGGTCCTGAAATGTGTGTGGCCCAGGCTGAGAATGTATTGACTGACTTGATAAGTTACGCTGCCTTCTATTCAGAAGGGGAGGAAGAAAGGAGGGAGGGAGGGAAGGAGAGAAAGAAGGAAGGTAGGAAGGAAGGAAGGAGGGAGGGAGGGGAGAAAGAAAGAAAGAAGGAAGGATTAGAGAACATTTAATAGAAACATACCAATGCAATAACCTTAAAATGAAGCAAGCATGAAAGCCATGAGGATGAATTACTTGCAAATAATTAATTATTGATTTTGAGCATCCTAGCAACCAAGGCGAAAAGGGAAATGTAATAGGGTTACACAATGCTGCTTACTCAGTAGAAAAGATCAAATCAAAAGAAACACATTTTTTCCCTGATTCTAAATTCTTCATTTTCTCCAGCTTTATTAGAGTATATCTGGCAAATAGAATCAGATTTAAAGTGTACAAAGTGACAGTATGATAAATCTATGCATTGTGATGTGATCACCATGAGTGATCAAGTTAATGAACATATGCATCACCTCCCATACCTCTGTGTGTGCGTGTGTGTGTGTGTATAGAATGTGTGTGTATAGAATCCTTGAGATCTAGTCGCTCCATGAATTTCCAGTATGAACCACACTAGTCTTAACTACAGTCGCCATGCTGTACATTAGACCCTCAGAACTTAGTCATCTAATAACTACAACTTGTACCCATCAACAAATGTCTCCCCATTTCCCACAACCCCAGCCCCTAGCCACCAACATTCTGCTCTCTGCTTCTATGTGCTTGAATTTTGGTTTTTTGTTTTTTGTTTTTTTGTTTTACATTGCACATCTGAGTGGTACTCTATATCTGTCTTTCTCTCTCTGGCTTATGTCACTTAGCATGATACCCTCCAAGTTCATCCGTGTTGTCACAGATGGCAGAATTTCCCTTTTTTATGGCTGAATTATATTCCACTCTATATATGTGCCACATTTTCTTTATCCACTCATCAGCCAGAGGACACCTAGGCTGTTTCCATGTCTTGGCTGCTATGAATAATGCTGCAGCAGACATGGGGAGGCAGGTGTCTCTTCAAGATACCGATCTTTGTTTCCTTTGGATAAATACCCAGATGTGGCATTCCTGGATCATATGTCAATCCTATTTTTAATTTTTTGAGGAAGCTCTATACTGTTTTCCACAGTGGCAGCACCAACTTACATTCCCACTGACAGTGTGCAGTAGTCCCTCTTGTCCACATGCTCGCCAACCTGTTATAGCCTGTCTGGCTGACGATAGTTTCCAGACAGATGTCAGGTGCTACTGGATGTGCATTTCCCTAATGATTAGTGGTGTTCATTTGCACATCCTCTTTAGAAAAAAAAAATGTCTATTCAGGTCCTTTGCTCATTGTTGGTGTTTGTTTTTGTTTTGCTGTTGAGTTGTATGAGTTCTTTATATATGTTTTATATTAACCCCTTACCTGATGTGCGCTTTACATATGTGTCCCCCCTTTCCACAGGTTGCCTTTTCATTTTATCAATCATTTTGTTTGCTGCACAGAAGCATTCTAGTTTGATGTAGTCCCACTTTCGTATTTTTGCTTTTATTTCTTTTGGTGTCATATTTTGCTTTTGTTTCTTCCTTTGTTTGCTTTTGTTTCATATTTTTGCTTTTGTTTCTTTTGGTGTCATATCAAAAAAATGATTGTCGAGATCAACGTCAAGGACCTTTCCCCTCAAATTTTCTTCTAAGAGTTTTATGCCTTCACATCTTACGTTTAAGTTTTTAATCCATTCAGTGTTAATATCTGTGGGTGCTGTAAGGTGGGAGTTTGGTTTCATTCTCTTGCACACAGACGTTTCCCAACATCATTCATTGAAGACACAATCTTCTCCTCATTGAGTATCTCAGCTCCCTTGTCAAGTATCACTGACCATATATGCACGGGTTTATTTCTGGGCTTTCAGTTCTGTTGTATTGATTGTGTCTGTTTTTATGCCAGTACCATACTGTTTTGATTACGACAGCTTTGTAATAATGTTTGAAATCAGGAAGTGTGATGCCTCCAGCTTTGATCCTTTTTCTCAGAATTGCTTTGGCTGTGAGGTTTTTGTGATTTCATAAGAATTTTAGGATTGCACTTTTTCATGTGCATAAAAAATGCCACTGGAATTTTGATAGGGTTTGAACTGAATCTGTAGATTGCTTTGGGTCGTAAGAACATTTTTACAATATTAATTCCTATAACCCAGGAACATAGAATATCTTTCCATTCATTTGTGTCTTGCTCAATGTATCAATATGTTATAGTTTTCTATGCACAGGCTTTTCACCTCCATGGTTAAATTTATCCCTGAGTATTTTGTTTTTGATGCAAGACAAATGTCTGCTTCAGATAGTTCATTGTTAGTGTATCAAAATGCAATTGATGTTTCTATGTTGACTTTGTATCCTGCAAGTTTACTGAATTCTTTTATCAATTCTAGAACATTTTGGTGGAGCCTTTTAGGGTTTCTATCTGTAAGATCATGCCACCTGTATACAGAAACATTTTACTTCTTAATGATTTGGATCCCTTTTATTTTTCTGCTTGCCTAATTGCTCTGACTGGGACTTCCAGTAACATGTTAAAGAGAAGTGGTGAGGGGGCACCTGGGTGGCTCTGTCGGTCAAGCATCTGACTTTTAATTTCAGCTCAGGTCAAGATCTCAGGGTTGTGAGATTGAGCCCCATGTCAGGCTTTGTGCTCAGCAAGGAGTCTGCTTGAGATTCTCTCTCTGCCTCTCCCTCCCCAAAATAAATAAGTCAAGAAAGAAAGAAAGAAAGAGAGGAAGGGAGGAAAGGAGAAAGAAAGAAAGAAGTGGTGAGATTGGGCATCCTTGTCTTGTTGTTGATCTCAGAGGAAAAGGTTTAGCCTTTTCTCCTTGAGTGTGATGAGCTTCTTATATATGGCCTCTGTCATGCTGAGTATGTTCCTTCTATACCCAATTTGTTGAAAGCTTTTATCATGAAACAAAAAGTTGAATTTTGATAACTGCTTTTTCTGTATCTACTGAGATGATCATATAATTTTATACTTGGTTTTATTAATGTGGTATATCACATTTATTTATTTGCCTGTGTTGATCCATCTTTGCATCCCAGATATAAATCCCGCTCGGTCATGGTATATGATCCTTGTGCTGTTGAATTTGATATGCTGGCATTTTGTTGAGGATTTTTGTGTGTATGTTCATCAGGGATATTGGACTATAATTTTCCCTTTTTGTAGAGTTCTTGCCTGACCTTGTTCTCAGGGCAAAACTGGCCTCATAAGGTGACGTGAGAAGTGGCTACCTACTCTTCCTTTGGAAGAGTATGAGAAGAATTGGCTTTAATTCTTTAAATATTTAAATATTTTTTAAAATATTTAAATAATTTATCAAGGGAGACATTTGGTTCTGGGTGCTCTTTGTTGGGAAATTCTTAATTACTGATTCAATCCCTTTTCTAGTTAAAAGTCTGGTCATAAGTTGCATGTCTCTAGGGATTTATCCATTTCTTCTAGGTTGCCCAGTTTGTTGTCATCTGATTACTCAAAGCAGCCTTATGACTCGTTGTCTTCTCAATTTCATTAGTAATTGATTTTATTTATTTGAGTCTTCTCTCTCTCTCTTTTTTTTTCCTTAGTCAAGCTAAATGTTTGTCAATTTTGTTTATCTTTTTTTAAAAAATCAGCTTTTAGTTTGGTTTGACTTTTGCTTTTCTAGCCTCTCGTTTATTTCTGCTCTGGTCTTTGTTATTCTCTTCCTTCTGCTAATTTTGGACTTAGTTTGCTTTCCTTTCTCTAGTTCCTTATAGTGTAAAGTTGGGCTGTTTGTTTGAAACCTTTCATTCTTTTTTAAGTAGGCGTGTGTCACTATAAACTTCCCTCTTAGAATAACTTCTGCTGCAGATTTTCTGATCTCTTATTCTGCCCCCAGGGATATGTTTTAGTATGCTGTGTTTCGACTTTCATTTATCTCAAGATTTTTTTTGTTTTTTTAATTTTAATTTGTTCTTTTAAACCATTGATTGTTTGAGAGGGTTGCTTAATTTCCACTTATTTATAAATTTTCCCAGTTCCTCATGTTAGCAAGTTCTAGTTTCATATCATTGTGGTTAGAAAAAATACTTCACATGGTTTCAGTTTCTGAGACCTGTTGAGGCTTATTATATGATCTGTCCTAGAGAACATTCTCTGTGCTTTTGAGAACATGAATCCTGATACTATTGGATGGAAGGGTCTGCATGTCTAACACAAATGTTCTTTTTGGTCTAACATGTGGTTCAAGTCCAGCATTTCCTTACTGATGTTCTGTCTGGATCACCTCTCCATTGTTGGAAGTGGGGTATTGGAAGTCCCCTACTATTATTGTGCGGCTGTCTATTTCTGCCTACTGATCTGTTAATATTTGCTTGGCAAATTTGGGTGTTATTACATCCTGATGAATTCACCCCTTCGTTACTATTTAATTACCTTCTTTTTCTCTTATTAAGTGTTTTGACTTAAAGTCTAATTTGTCTAGAGGAAGTGTAGCTACTTCTCTCTTTTGATTTCCATTTGCTTGGAATATCATTTTCCATCCCTTCACTTTAGCTTAAGTGTGTCCTGAAAGCTGAAATGAGACTCTTAGACAGCATGTCATTGGGTCTTGGTGTTGGGTTTTTTTTTTTTCTTTTTTTTTTTTAATCCTTTCAGACATTCTGTCTTTTGATGGGAGAATTTAATCCATTTACATTTAAAGTAATTTCTATAGCTAAGGACTTAGTATTGCCATCTTGTTTATTGTTTTCTGCCTGCTTTGCTCTTCCTTTATTCTTTTCTTATTCTCTTGCTGTTTTCCTTTGTGATTTGATGATTTCTTATAGAGGCATGCTTTGATTCCTTTCTCTTTATCCTTTGTGTGTCTACTATAGGTTTTTGCTTTGTGGCTACCGTGAGGCTTACATAGAACATCTGATAGCTATAACACTCTACTTTAAGGTGATAACAACATAATTTTGATCACGTACAAAAATGCTACCCTTTTACTTCCATACACACACACACACATTTTATGTTTTTGATGTCACAATTTGCATCTTTTTATATTGTGTACCCATTAACAAATTATTGTAACTCATTATTTTTAATACTTTTCTAGCCTTTGTACTAGCATTCAGCATTTTACACATGACCATCACAGTTGTTTTTTTTAAGATTTTGTTTATTTATTTGACAGAGATCACAAGTAGACAGACAGAGGCAGGCGTGGGGGGTGGGGGGAAGCAGGCTCCCTGCAGAGCAGAGAGCCCAATGCGGGGCTCGATCCCAGGACCCTGAGATCATGACCTGAGCCGAAGGCAGAGGTTTTAACCCACTGAGCCACCCAGGTGCCCCACCACCATCACAGTATTAAGAGCATTCTGAATTTCACTCCACACTTATCTTTCCCAGTGAGTTACACTTCCATGTATTTTCATGTTACTAATTAGCATCCCTTCATTTCAGCTTGAAGAAGCCCCTTTAGCATTTCTTACAAATCAGGCCTCATGGTGATGAGCTTTTGTTTATCTAGGAAAGTATTTCACTATCATTTCTGAAGAACTGTTTTGCTAGGTCAAGTACTTTTGGTTGGCAAAAGGTGTTTATTCAGCACTTCGAATAAATATATCTACCCACTCGGTCCTGGCCTGCAAAGTGTCACTTCTGGGAAATCTGCTAACAGCCTTTTGGGAGTTCCCTGGCATATGATGAGAATTTTTTTTCTTTTTCCTTGCTCCTTTCAAAATTTTCTGTCTTTAGGTTGTTTGTTTCTTTGTTTGTTTACAGTTTTATTGTAGTTTATATAAGTGAAATCCTCTTTGGGTTTAATCCGTATGGAGAGCTATGAGCTTTATGTACCTGGATGTCCATATCTTTTCCCCATTTGTGGGAAATCTTTAGCCATTATTTCTTTAAGAAGCTTTCCGTCCCTTCCTCTTTCTCTTCTCCTTCTGGGCCTCCCATAATGCAAATAATACTTTGCTTGATGGTGTCCATAATTCACATTGGCTTTCTTCACTCTTTTTCATGCATTTTTCTTTTTTCTCCTCTGACTGGATGGTCACAAATGACCTGCCTCGGAGTTTATAGGTTCTTTCTTCTGTTTGAGCCCCTGTGTTGTTGATGCTCTCCATTGCATGTTTGTTCATTTTAGTCACTATTCTTCAGCTCCCAAATTTCTACTTGTTTCTTTTTTATGATTTCTGTCTCCCTGTTGAACTTCTTGCTTTGTTTGTGTATTGTTTTCCCAGTTTCATTGAGTTGTCTACCTGTGTTTTCATGTAGCCTTCTGAGCTTCCTTGAAAGAACTAGTTTGAATTCTTTAGCACTTCACAGATTTCCATTTTGCGGGGGAGGGTTGATTGCTGGAAACGTGTGGTGTTCCTCTGGGGTGTCCTGTTTCCTTATCATCTCATGTTTCTTGCAGCTTTGTGTTCATATCTGTGCATTGGATGGAACATTCACATCTTCCAGATTTTATAGACTGATTTTGGTCTGGAAAGTTCTTCATCTGTGGGTGGGTGTGAGGGCACAGGCTGGGTGAGGGTCAGCAGCCAAGGCTGCTGGGGACCTTCTGCTCTCGTATTCTGCCCTTGGGGATATCATGGCCAAGGGGATCCCTTTTGGCACTGGTTCCAGCTTGCAGGCACCCTCATGGTGGTGTACTGGTATCTGATGCAGAGGTGTCCAGAGTAACCACAGAATTGGGGTCTAAAGTGTGGATATGCACAGAGCATCCAGAGCTCTGGGGTCCAGGGCATGTACACAGTTGGGGAGGCTGGCAACCTTGACCCCAGGGCAATGCAACAACACTTTCAGGAAGGGGGCACAGTATCATCTCCACACTGAGGAGTCCATGGTGGGGATGGCTATTGGTTTCCTCAGTGGCAGAAGCTGTTGGTGTCCACTCTGTAGCAGGCCACTGGAGTCCACACCAACAGCCATGATGGGGCCCTCTTCTGTGAAACCTGCTGGGAGTCCCACAGTAGGGCCACTGAGGTCTTCAGCAGCAAAGACTGCTAGTTCCTCCCTAGTGCAGACCATAGTGGCCCCTGTTGCATGGCTGATGCTTGCAGCCTTCACCCTTCTTCACTGTCCCTAGGCTTCCCCAGATGTCTATGGGAGGCTGATCTCCCCAGCAATCCTTTTTCTGTGGGGTTTTTTTTTTTTTTTGGCACTGTGTTGCTGTAGGTTCTTCCTTAAAGTCCTGAGTTCTCCTGAAGCTATTTGCATTCATGAAAAGCTATCTACTTTTTGGGGGGGGGAGGGCAAATACCAGTATCTCCTACTCCCCACCTTGCTAATGTCAATTCCCCCCAATTCTAAATTCTAAGGGACTTCCTCAGTGGGGAAACTTGAATAAAATAATATCCCAACAACAGTTTCATAGCAAGTGCAAAATCTGCATGGTACACAGTTTGATATATAAAGAGTAAAAGTAGGCAGATTTCCTGTGTACAGGAGAAGACAGTGAATATTTCAGGCTTTGTGGGCCACAGGGCCCATATGGCAAATACTGTACTCTACACTGTAGCCTGAAAGCAGACATCAGCAATACCCAAACCAGGAGGCCTGGCAGGGAGACAGTGAAGCTATATTTACGGACACTACATTCTGAATTTTGTATAACTTTCACATACTGTGAAATATTCTTCTTTTTATTTTTTTCAACTGTTTAAGAAATGCACCGACCATTCTCAGGTTATAGGTTTTACAACATGTGGCCCGCTGGATTGGACTAGTGTCTGCTAACCCCCGTTCAAAAGCATATTGTTGGAGGTACTGGCGGCAGGGGGAGGATTTTTAGAGTATAACCAAAAATACAGGATTTAGGTTTGTGGGAGCATTAACAGATCCAAGAGAATGAGGATGTTCTGGAGAACATGGTGCCAAGAAGAACTAATGCCTCCCTTGACACCTCAGGCCGACACACACAACGTAAGACAATGTAACCTGCCCAGTGAGAAACTGAGATCTGATGTTTCTGGAATCTGTGGGAGACAGTGTAGAACGCATCCGGAATTGTCTCTCCTGGGGGCAGGGGACCACCATCTGCCGTTGGTCGAGGCTTCCTCCTGGACGTGACCCTTAGACGGACAACCACAGGTGCAGGCAGAAGGACATCCTTGGCCTGTGCTTCCATGGTGGGTGCTGAGGTCAACGTTATCTCCTTCACTTCTCTGTGACCTCCTACGAGGAGATGTCATGAACCCCAGTTTACAGGCGAGAAAACTGAGGCCCAGTGGGGCAAATGTCTCAGGCCACGGACTTAATGAGAGCAGTTGCATTGTATGCTTCCTTCCCTCTTTACCCTCAGCCTCCAGAGTGGCACCTGGCACAGACCAAGCCCTTGGTGACTATCTGCAGCATGAAGTCACCAGGGAGCATGACTTGCTCAAGTCAAGGCAAGCTGGGATTTTCTGCCCGCAGCCCACGCTCCTTCCACAGCAGTGGCAAGAACGTGCCGGCGTTGGCAGCCAGCATGGCACGTGGCTTGGAGGGGCTGCCTAAAATGGCTGTCGAGTGAATGAGCGAATGAATGAACAGAGAACCAGATGTGTGCTCTGCCTTCATGTCCTGTCTTTCCCTCCCTGGCGTAGGAATCAGAAAAAGACGCCAGCACCAGGAGAGAAAGAGGCCCTGCCCCACAATGTCATGGAGAAACGAGGATTTGCACGAAGAATTCGTAGAGCTGCTGCTTCTCCATCAATCTCACCACAGACTCCAGGAGTCCCAGAGCAAGGGGAGCTGGCATCACAGCAGGGTGGAGAAGCGAGGTCGGTTGATTGAGGTCAAAGACTTATTTGGCCCAGGCCTGGGTGCTCAGGAAGAAAGTCGAACAGTTGTACTGCACGGAGTTGCTGGGGTCGGGAAGTCGGTGGTGGCCAGGCAGGTGAGGAGGGCCTGGGAGGAAGGCAGGCTCTACAGGAACCGTTTCCAACACGTCTTCTACTTCAGCTGCAGACAGCTGGCCCGGTCCAAGACGATGAGTCTCAAGGAGCTCATCGAAAAGGACTGGGCCGCCCCCACGGCTCCCAGCGAGCAGATCCTGTCTCAGCCCGGACAGCTGCTGCTCATCCTCGATGGTTTGGATGAGCTAAACTGGGTCTTGGGGAAGGAGACGTCGGAGGTATATCTGTACTGGGACCAGCCGCAGCTGGTAAAGACACTGCTGGGCGGGTTGCTGAGGAAAACCATCCTCCCCGGGGCATCTCTGCTGATCACAGCGCGGACCACAGCTCTGCAACTGTTCATTCTCTCTGTTGAGCAGCCACGGTGGGTGAAGGTCCTGGGGTTCTCCAAGTCCGGCCGGAAGGAATATTTCTACAAATATTTCAAGAGTGAAAGCAAAGCATACAGAGCCTTTTGCGCGGTTGAGTTAAACCAACCACTGTTGACGATGTGTCTCGTGCCCTTTGTGTCCTGGCTGGTCTGCACTTGCATGAAGAAGAAGTTGGAACAGGGAGAGTCACTCTCACTGCCCTCCCAGACCACCACTGCCCTCTGTCTGCACTACCTTGCCCAGGCTCTGCCGGCCCAGCCTCTTGGGACTCAGCTGAGGGGCCTCTGCTCTCTGGCTGCCAAGGGCGTCAGGCAGGGAGAGAGCTTGCTCGTTTGGGAGGATCTCAGGAAGCATGAGCTAGAGGAGGCCACTGTCTCTGCCCTCTTAGAGATGGGCATTCTTCGGAAGCATCCCTCCTCCCCAGACTACGACTTTGCTCACCAGTACCTCCAAGAGTTCTTTGCAGCCGTGTCCTGCGTGCTGGGGAGTGAGGACAAGGAGTGCCATCCCTCCGACAGTATCCGAGGGCTGGAAGACCTGCTAAAGGCGTATGGGGGCCTTGCCCCATTTGGGGCACCAACCACATGTTTCATCCTGGGACTTCTGAGCGAGCAGGTGCAGTGGGAGATGGAGGCCGTCTTCCAGGGCAAGGTGCCTGTGGAGAGGAAACGGAGACTGTTGTGCTGGGCCGAGGAGGCAGTCAGGAACCAGCTCCCCATTCTGCGGCAGGGCTCCCTGCCGATGCTGCACTGTTTGTACGAGATTCAGGACAAGGACTTCCTGACACGCATGATGGCCCCCTTCCACGGGGCGAGTGTGCGCGTCCACACCGGCCTGGAGCTCCTGGTGTTCATGTTCTGCATTAAATTCTGCGCCGTGAAGGAGCTTCGACTGAAAGAGCGTGGACAGCACGGACACACGGGGAGCCCCCTCCATGTGGCTCTGTGAGTACCCCACACCCCTCCTGCCAGCCCCTCCCGCCAGCCCCTCCGCGGGTCCCATATCCCTAAGCCTGGCACCAGGGGCTAGAGGAATGAGGTCACCAGTGACTTCAAACTGCCAAATCTGACCCCGGTTCCCTGTCCCCTTAGGATCCTGTGCAGCGTCCTGCCTGCCTCTGGGGGGCCCTCTGTGGTTTCCCCGTTCTGTGTCTGTGACGCCTGCCACCTTCTCTTGGGCACATTTCTAACCCCATGCTAGCCTGACTTGTCTCTCTCTCTCTTTCTCACTCTCTTTTGGAGAAATACTCCCTCAGCTGCATCAGGCAACCCCCCCCCCCCGATGACTGTTGACAATGCCACTGGTTCTGAAACGTCCCGCCTGTCACCTAAGAATGTGTGTGCCTGCAGGAGAGTCTCTGTTTTTCCCCGAAAAACTGGCTTCCTTGTTTGTGCCCATGAGGCGCTACTGCTCAGCCTGAAACCCACCATGTTTGAGCTGAGGGAGAGTTTGTTCTAATCACCCTCCAATCTGGCAGCACCGTGAACGTCCCTAACAGGGTCCCCCCAGCACGGTCGCCCTACGGATCACTTAGCACAGGGATGATTCATTCCGTAATCACTTAAGAACTGATTTTTTTTGCTAGGCTCTATGCTATGAGATCACAGACTAATAAAACACAGTTCTGCCCTCAAGGAACTCAAAGTCTGAGGGAAAAGATGGATGCCTGTCCCATAATTAGACTAGAGAGCGATGCCCACGGGGACGGCTCGGCAGGAGCCTGAGGAAGGGAGGGAGCCCACGAGTAGAGCAGATAAAGAAAGGGTTTCAGAGGAAGAAATGTTGGACTCGGGGCTTTTATTCTCTGATCTTTTTACGTTTTCTTCTTTTCACGATAAAGTTCGCGCTGACTGCAGAAGGCTGGGGTGCGTTGGTAGACAGGCCGATGAAATCAGCAGGAGCCAGACTTCTGTCACTCAGAGATGATGTAAGAACCAGGGTCTGCCCCGCAGTCTTTCCTCTACACACCTTTCTCCGGCAGAGCTGAGCCATGTGCTGTCCGTTCTACTCGAGAGTCTCTATCTTTATTTTTTAAATAATCTCTACCCCTGACATGGGGACTCAAACTCACCACCCCAAGATCAAGAGTCACAGCCTCCTCCGAATGAGTCGGTTGGCGCCCAGGTTGTGGTCTTCGTACCGAGGCCACCTGCCCCGCGCAGCACAGGAGCCCAGCACAGCCTCTGTGAATGCCTGAATGACCACGCGATGTTGCACGGGGAAGGCGCCACGACGGGCTGGACCGTCTGCGTATTCCCGGGCGTAGGTGGCTTCTCCCTGTGCGTGGTTGTAGATGGGAGGTCTGGAAGGAACGGCGGCAGTGGCTGATGGAGAGAGTCCCCTGGGAAGTCGGAGGCTCTGGCTGCTGTGTGCGGCAGATTTGAAGGGGACTGAGCCCCAGGAAGGCAAGACAGGGGGAGCAGCAGGGGCCGCTCTGAACAAACAGGGCAGCTGGGGAGAAATGGAAGACTGGTGGGGGTTGGGGGAAGGGAGCAGAGGACCGACCCAGCGACCCAGTGTGGTCAGAATGGGCAGCTTCCAGGCATTCGGCTGGTAATGAAGCAGTGCACGCTTGGAATGATAAGTGTCTGTTCCTTACGAGAGCCCCTCTGATGACAGATGCCAAATGTTGGCTGAAAGAGAAAGTTCCGAATCTATGGTTCAAATTCCACAAAATGAAATAAGCATAAAAGGAATTTAAATAATTAAGATTTCAGATGACGGTTTGGGGGGAGGTATGTCTGTAGCATCGAGCCTCCTGGCCTGTTAAAGCTGTGAAGCTACTCTCACAAAAGCCTCTGCAGGAGGGCCTTCCTTTTGCAGCCGAGGACGCTGAGTGAGGCTGGGGGACCTGGGATCAGGGCCCCTGGTCCTCGCCTCTGTGTGGCTCTGCAGACCCGGGGGGAAGACTAACTGAGTGGGGGGCACATTGAGACACATTAGTCAAGGGGCTACCGGGTGTGAAGGCGGAGATGCCTGCCTGGAACCCGCCGGCACAGAGTTTGAGCTGCTGAAGCCTCGGACATAGGTGAGATTGCTGAAGCGTGTGTGAGGACGGAAACATTAAATGAGGGAAATTACGTGGGGCAGAGTCAGCTCTAACACCCTCCGATGAAGGCCATCGTCCATCCTGAGACACTCTCCTTTGGCGCTTGCTCCCGGGGACCCTTTCCATCCTGAAAGGGGAGGGGGTCCCAACCCAGACAGCAGTACACACAGTCACCTATAAAATTCCCCCCCAGTGTCGTCCTCAAACCACCTCTCCCGGCTCCTGCTCCTCCTCCCCTCCCTCCTTTCCTTTCTGGGCTCCGGGATTCCAGAACGTCAGCACCAAAAGAACTCAGGTGTGTCTGCATTGAAGGGAGGAAAGCCCCACCAGCTCGTCCTCTGCATCAGGACTTCTGCTGGGCACTGCAGATAAAAAAAAAAAAAAAAAAAAAAAAAAAAAGATGAGAAACCCCTGCCCTGGAGGAACTCCAGACTAGGACAGACACAGACTCACAAAATGAACACTTGAGGATGATGTGGCAAGGATTGCAGAGCTAGGAAGCACACAGGAGGGGCGTGGGGGACAGAGGAGCCATCAGGGAAGCTGCTTGGTAGGTCCTGCGCTTGGCACTCTGAGGGGCAGAGCCGCAACAGGGCTTTGCAGGGCTGTGCACCCCAGACCCTGCCCACACAGCTCATGCCGCTCCTGTCCCTCTCCCCCTCCCTCAGGCTCAGCGGGGTCCTGGTCACAGATGTCTGCTGGGAGGTTCTCTTTTTCACTCTCCAGACCACTGGAAACCTGAAGGAGCTGGACCTAAGTGGAAACTGCCTGAGCAAAATGGCAATATGGAGTCTCTGCGAGGCCCTGAGGTTCCCTTGCTGCCATCTGGAAACCCTGCGGTGAGTCTGAGCTGGGTCCTGCTCGGAAACAGGGATGGGCAGGAGATTTGAGATGGAAGCTGAGGGCTCTTCTGTTCAACATCCTGCCAGAGGCTCTCTCCAGGACAGTTAGGCAAGAAAATGAACAAATGCTTCCAGGGTAGGAAGGGAGGTGAAACAATCTCTCTTTGGAGACAGCATAATCTTACATATGGAAAATCATAAAGAATCCACAGAAATAGCCGTCAGAACTAATGAACGCGTTCACCAAGATTTTAGGATATAAGGTCAACATGTAAAAATCGGTCTGACTTCTGCACACTAGCAATGAGCAACCCAAAAACAAAATTAAGGAAACAAGTCCACTTACAATAGCATCAAAAAGAATGAAATACTTAGGAGCAAATTTAGCAAAAGAAAAGCAAGGCTTATATACCGAAAACTACAAAACATGATTAAAACAAATTAAATGATAACTTAAATAATGGAAAGGCATCCCATGTTCATGGATCAGAAAATTAATATCGTTATGATGGCGACACTCCCCAAACTACTGCACAGATTCAGTTCAATCCCTATCAAAATCAAAGCTGTGTTTCTTGAAGATGTGGTCAAACTGATCCTAAAATTCATTTGCAAGGACAAGACTGCATGTCAGGTGTTGGGAAATCCCCGCAATGTTTACTGCTCAGGAAGAGAAAAGCCAACAAAGCAGAATGAGAAAGAGCGGCCAGGGAGGTGGGAAGAACGCCAGGAGAGTGTGCTCCATGGAGCCCAAGGGAGCTGAGGGTTCCAAGGACGGTGTAGCCAGCAGGGGCCACTGCTGCTGGGAAGCCAAGTAAAGCAAGGGCTAAAAACTGTCCACCACTGGATTAGCATTAGGGCAGTCGGGTGGTCTTAGCAGGAATAGCCTCATGTCAGGGCCAACATCCAGACTGGAATGGAGGAAGCAGAGGGAGACAGGTAGAAAATGAGGCCACAATACTAAAACTTGGGTGGGAAAAAAGAGAAACAAGTTAAAGCAGAGGGAAACGGGAGCCAACTAAAGGGGTGTGTGTGTGTGTGTGTGTGTGTGTGTGTGTGTGTTTGACCAGTTGCTTGCATTTAAGAAGAAGGAAAAGACCTAAATTTGAAATTTGATGGTGAAAGAAACAAGAAGGAGAAAGTAGCTGAGAGGGGAAGAAGAGAGAATGACTGACCTTGGAGAGGAGGAACGGCCTCCTCCACTGTATCAGGAAGGCAGGCAGGGACGGGACCCAGGGAGGTAAGCACAGAGGCACACAGTAGGACTGTGGGGTGCTGTGGGGTTTCCATCTCATGCCTCCGTTCTCCTCTGTGAGGTAGGAGTCGAGTTGTCTGCTGAGAGTGTGAGGGTTGGCTGTGGAGGTTGGGGAAAGATATCATTCTGAAATGGTCTTTGTACAGTGGGGGGTTTCCACCTGCCAGCCATCACCAAGGCTCCTAGTCGTGGTTCCCAACGGCCACACCTGCTCTGTGACTCAGGCGGGGGTGGGGGTTTGTTCGGGAGCAGAAAGATGGCAGAGTTTGGGGTTAGCCAGAAGGATGTGACGGAAGGTCACCTTTAGGATGTTGGCGATGACGGATCATGGAATCTAAGCTAGATTCCAAGGGAAGTGAAGAAAAGCCAGAGGCTGGGGGGCTGGAGAGAAAGGGGACCAACAGAGTAAGAAGGCAAATGTAGCCTTGCGTTGTGACTTCCTGGGTCCCCTCCCAAAACCGTTCCAAGGAGAGTTGCCTGGGTCTGGCAGAAAGGCTTCTGCAAGGGACTCAGAAACCCAACCTCACGCCCTGGGGGGGAAGACATCCAACTTCCATGGACCCCTCACGTGGGTGTAGAATTTCATAATTTCTGTGTCCTCTGGGGTCTTCAGGAAAGAATCCATGAACATAGCATAGCAGAGACAACCATTTCTGGTTCCCAGACGATAAGAATTGAGGCCCAGAGAGGTCAACAGTCTTGCCCCAGTTTCCACAGCAGGAAACAGGAGAGCTGAGATGGGAACCCGGTGAGGACACAGCCGGCACCAGCAGGACCCCTCTGTCAGGAAAGCCTGAATCTGGCTCTTGCCAGCTCCCTGGGGTCATGTCACAGAAAGAAGGCGTGTTCCCCCAAGAGCACCAAGGCTAGGTCAGGCCGACGTGACTCGTTCCCCTCACTGGAAACACTGGGAGAGCTCAGGACTTTATTGACTCTGGAGCCAAGACCATCTAGGACGCTCCAGCAAAGTCCCGGGGGATGACCGGAGACTGGCACGGTCCCAAAAGAGTGCATGGGCCAGGGTCAAGGGTCCTGGCGCATTCTGCGCTGTGGGGCATGTTGAATGGAGCCCATCACTTGGGCAAGAAGAAGCTGGTGATCTGAAAGACAGGGTGCCGGGAAGAGCAGAGGCCAGAGGGCAGGAGGGATGAGCCTCGGGTCGCCTCGGGGACGGAAGGGAGGGAGCAGGGCTGCGCAGGAGCCGAGCACCGGGAGGCGAAGCACATTGGCGGGTGTCACGTGTCTCCCACAAGTTGGCCCGCTGCGGCCTCACGCTGAGGGCTGCATAGGCCTTGCCTGGGTGCTGGGCTCCCGTCGGACCCTGACCGAGCTGGGGCTGAGCTTCAGCCCGCTCCTGGACCAGGGGGCCGAGCGCCTCTGCAACGGGCTGAAACAGCAGGTCTGCCGGCTACGCGGGCTGCGGTGACTGTCCTCACTGGCCGTCTGTGTGGGTGGACGGGGGAGGGGGCAGGAGTTGCCCCAGGTCCGTGGGGCAGACGGGCGCTGGGGGGTACAGAGCAGGAAGGCCCTTGCTCCCCCGGGGCTCCCGTGTCGACACGGTTGGTGCCCCCGTGCAAGGGGCCCCGGGGCGGATCCGTCAGTGGGGTGAGCGTGCCCGGCAGGCGGGCGGCTCAGGGGAGTCTCACGGGAGAAGGGGAGGCCCCGGACCCTCCTAAGGGCCACGGGCACCAGAAAGGGAAACGAGCCCACGGTCTCCCCAGGACAGGCTCGGGTGCTGACGGCGGCCGGGGCGCGTCTCCCCCGCAGGCTGGTCGGCTGCGGCCTCACGTCCAGCTGCTGCTGGGCCCTGGCCTCGGCGCTCAGCACCAGCCCCAGCCTGACGGAGCTGGACCTGCAGCAGAACAAGCTGGAGGACGCCGGCGTGCGGCTGCTCTGCGAAGGCCTAAGGCATCCGACCTGCCAGCTCAGGCTCCTGTGGTAAGGCCTGTGGGGGCCTCGCGGCGGGGCTGGGGAGGGGGAGGCGTGTAGGGTGGCGAGGTGGTAGAGGCCGCGCCAGTGGACGGGGGAAGGAGAAGGACCCGTAAATGTAGGTCAGCAGGGGCTCCTCGCCGGCTCCGACACTGACTCGGGCCACGGGGCGCAGGGAGGTCTTCCTCGGAGACTCTGGGGTCCTTGTCTGTGTAATGGGTCTGCCTTGTGAGCTGCAAGGAGTCCGAGGCGGGTCAGAGGGCGGACGGTCTGGGCGGAGAATTGGACAGGGCGGCGTGATCATCAGGAAGGTGGTGGGCGACCGTGAGGGGACCCACAGGGCTCTCACGGGCCCAGCCCTCCTGACGCCACACTCCAGCAGGAACGAGGGGACGCTAGTCATGTGCTAAGGCACAAATGGGGATGTTTGAGCTCCACGGGGGCTGTGAAGGGAGAGCGAAGGTCTTCTGAGTCTGTAGGGTCGGGGAGGTTGGAGTGGACTGGGGGGCCCAGAGGCCAAGACCCCAGGAGAAGCAGGAGCCGGCCAGGCCCAGGCAGGGGGAACGGACCTCTGGGCAGGACAGGCACAGAGCAGAGCTGGTGACCCTCCTTCACACCCTGAGTCCTGTCCCCAATGGGCTCTCTCTGCCTCCTTCCTCCAGAGCCTGAAAACAAGGCCATGGTTCTTTCTGGCGACACCCCTCCCTGCAGCCCCCGGCTGGGCCTTGGGGCACTCAGCACGGTGTGGGGGGCTCACTCAGAGACCCTCGTGTCCTGGCCCCTGGCAGCTCCAGTCGGCCCTTGGAGGGGGTCTACAGAGCCTGGGCTCTCAGACAGAGGGAGTGGGAGACTAGACATTGGGGAGCCAGACACTGGGGGCTGGATGGGGTACACGGGGACCTCCCAAAGCTGACACGGATACCTGACGACCCAGGGGCTGGCTCCTACCCCCCAGGGGATAATGGCTCCGACGGCAGCAATGACTAGGGCACGCGCCTCCCCGGACAGAGCGCAGGGCGTCTCGCCTGCCGCCTTGTCTGTGGCTCACATACGCGGAGACAACCCACCCGTGTCAGAGGCAAGCACCCAGAGACCCCGACGGGGTGACCAACAGCCCGGGAGAACCAGGCTTCCTGTGTGCTCGTAGGCTGGACCAGACCCGGCTGAGTGAGGAGGTGACCCAGATGCTCCGAGCCCTGGAGGACGAGAAGCCGCAGCTGCTCATCCGCAGCAGACAGTACGGGCAGCGGGGTTGGGGGAGACCCAGAGCCCCACCGGGCTGGCCCAGGCCTGAGCTGAGTGCTTGGGGTTGCGCGAGAGATGGGGCAGAGGCAGACAGAGCCCTATTTGTTTATGCAAATAGAACCAGTCGCTGTGGGGCTCAAAGCCGTCCTGGGGAGGACCAGGGAGGTGACGATGGGGGACATGGGTGGGGCCAGGAACAAGGAGGGGGAAGCAAAGACAAAGAGCGAGAAGCTTGGGACCAGACCAATGCGGGCTGGGGGTCTGGAGGGCTGGGGGACTGGGGGGCGAGCCTGGGGCAGAGTCCGTCTTCCCCACGGGGAATGCGCTGCAGCCCCCCTGCTCCCCCCGTTTGGGGTACGCCGGCCCTGACTGTGGCCGGTGCCCGCGCTGGCGGCTGCTGTGCTCACCCACAGTATGGAGGGAAAGGGCGCGAGGCTGGGCGTCCACTCCCTGCAGACCCGCCACGGCTTCTGCACGCCGCAGGGAACGGGGGCTTCGTGCCCGTTACCCCACAGCCCAAGTCGGCGTCCCTAGGAGGACTGGAAGTGCATTCCGGGGCTGGTTTGACCCTGTCCTGAAGAGCGGGGCTGAGCCCTAAACGACGGGAGCAGTTTGCTGGGCCCAGAAGGGAGCAGATTCCAGGCAGAGGAAAGGCTCGGAGCTCTGCTCCTTCAAGAAACAGAGCACAGCCGGGTGCGGGGAGCCGCGCCCTGTTCCGGGTGCCATCAGGTCTGACCAGCGCCTGGGGATGTGTTAGAAATGCAAATTCTGTTTTGGGGTGAATGACAAGTGACCTGTCAGCCCTCAGAGGGGCCATGGGGGGTCAGGAGGACACCCCAGTTCCAGCTCTGCCATGCAGGGCTGAGCAGATGGGGTCATTCCCAAGGAAGGGGCTACCGGAGAAGCCTGGACTCAGGCCACATGTTCAAACTGGGACAAGCAGAATGTAAGTGAGGACATCATGGCGACAGCCCAGCTTCCTCTGAGATCCTGGGAGAATGAAGGCCTCTTTGTCTAGGAAGCCGAGTGAGACAATGCCTAACGAGGGCCCAAACGAGACGATGCCTAACGAGGGCCCACACGAGGGAGAAACGAGCGGCACGTCCTCACTCCAGCAGGACAGACGAGAGTCAGGTAGTAGAGGGGTCCAGGCTGGAAGCATCATGGAGGGGTGGCTCCAGCCCCTGCCGCTGGCGTGGGACAGGGCGGGCTGCTCCCAGGAGAGCCTACCCTATGGAAAGCTGTCCAGTCCTAGAGTCTGGCAGGACTTTTGCCTCCCTCTGTCCCAGCCTGGGGGCCTGGGGCCTGAAAGTCACCTCTCCGTCCCCACCATCCATCTTTTGATCCACGTTCGGCTCACAGTTGCCCCCTGTAGCATTCGGGGAAGAGGAACACTGCTGGATGGGTGGGTGGGGCTGGGCTGGGCTGGGTCTAGGCTAGGGCAGGGGCTGGGGCTGGGCTGGGGCAGGAGCTGGGCTGGGCTGGGCTGGGCTGAGGCAGCAGGGCTGGCCCTCTGCAGGCAGCAAGCAGGCAGGCAGGCAGCCACAAGAGCAGGGACAGAGGCTTCAGACCCTCCCCGCCATGGGCCAGGCAATGCAGCCTTGGGAGGGGCCCCACCATGGTCTCTCCTTGAGGGGCCGGGGCGGCCAGACAGGAGAACCTAGAGCTGACCACTGTCCTGCCTGTTTCCAGAGGGACTCTCCCCTCAAGTCGCCCAGGAGGGACTCGCCAGTCTGCCTTCTCCTGCCCCTCCAGAGGACCTGCTCACAGGGCCTCTGGGGACTGAGGATGACTTCTGGGGCCCCCTGGGGCCTGTGGCCATCGAGGTGGTTGACAAAGACAGAAGCCTGCACCGGTGAGTGTGGGGGAGGCCTGCTGTCTGGGTCTGGCCTCCCAGGTCACCGTCCTCACACCTTTCCCCCCGACACACCCATGGCACTGGGGTCCCCTCCCCTTCCAAGCCCTCAGGCATGGACAAGGCTGAGATCCTCAGTCTGTGCTTTTATCATGGAAAAGGAGGTTCCATTGTGAAAATTCTCAACCGTGAGCCGAAATGGGGTCCAAGGTACTTGCGTTACCGTCACCCAGGTCCGACAGCCGTCTCGCCAAATTTATTCCATTTTCCCATCTTCTGTTGTTAGAGCCTTTCAAGGATTTAATTTATTTATTTGTTTCTTTGAGAGCAAGCGCGAGTGGAGGGTGGGTGGGAGCCGAGGGAGAAGCAGGCCCTCCGCTGAGCAGGGAGCCCGGGACCCTGAGGCCATGACCCAAGCCAAAGGCGGGCGCTTTGCAGACAGAGCCCCCAGGCGCCCCTGGTGGAGTGTTTCATAAATCCACGCTATCAGGCGACTCTACCACTAAATATTTCGTGATGCATTTCAAAGAAAAGGTGAAGAAAGACCTTTTCTTCTGTTACCATGACAACCATCAGCAGGTGTCATGTTTACAGCGAGTCCTAACGGTCCTCACCGACCCAGGCCATGTTCAGGGGGCCCGCATGTCCCAGTGGACTAATGCCCACCACGGGCAGCCGCGGCGTCTGCCATCACGATCTGGAGCTCCTCTACGACACAGCGCCACACACCGCCTCTCAGGGAAGAGATGGCTCCCCGGCCCTCCCCCTGCGGACCCCGCCTGCCCGCTGCCCCACTGCTCGCCGCATGGGGAGCTTTGGGAATGTGGCCGGAGGCCCCGGCAGAGTTGTTTTCATTCCCAGGTGTGGGTCGTTCGTGTCACGTGTCACGGTGTAGACCGGCACGAATCATTGGCAGAGAGCCTTTACAAACAAGAATGCTCTCCTGTTTCATCACCATCATCAGGATGGAAACGTCACTGCCGCCAGGCGTGCGCTCATCTCCGCGTGCCCCGGGTCCCTGAGCACTCACGCCTCTGGGATAGGCGCATCTGTCATCCCCGTCCACAGAGGACATGGTTCATGGAAGCTCAGAGATGGGCCCAGGGTCGTCAGAGGGCAAAGGCGCTGGGACTCCCAGCCCAGGCCTTGGGACTGCGACGTCTGGGTCCATGCCACTCCCCTGGACCCTCAGCGCCCCGCACGGGGTCTGGTGAAATGGAATAGGGTCATTCTGTGTCCCCCTCTCCCTGTTCCCCCCAGAGTTCACTTGCCCATGGCTGGCTCCTACCGCTGGCCCAGCACAGGTCTCCGTTTCGTGGTGAGAGAGCCTGCGACCATCGACATTGAATTCTGTGCCTCAGACAAGTTCCTGCACGAGATGGCCTGGGATCAGAGCTGGATGGTGGCCGGGCCTCTGTTTAACATCAAGGTCAAGCCAGGGGCCGTGGCGACTATGTACCTCCCCCACTTCGTGGACCTCCGAGGTGAGTGGGGTGGGGCATGGGGGGATCTGGGGGGCAACGTCCTGGGGGAGGAGCGCATGGCTTCCTCAGAGGGACGGAGGGGGCACGCCGTGATCCAGGCGCCTCTGTTTTTGAAGCATTTGGTCTCCCAGCCTCATAATTCTTCTTGCCCAAACGACTCAAAAGTTTCCCTACGTAGGAAGCATTCTCCTCGATACTCAGAGCTCCGTACCCAGGTCGGGTCCCTCATGGTCCCAGCAGGAAACGGGCCGCATGCTCGGTGGCAGTTTTTGAAGAGACCAGGCTATGTACAAAGTGAGGGCAAAGGAGCGAATGGGGCTGTTGGGGTTCCCAGGGACGAGCGCCCAAGGGGGAGCGTGACTATCCCCTCAGGCAGGGGAGACTCCGTGTCGCCAGACGCCCTCTGGGAGCCGAAGCCCGGAACAGGGGCTTCCCGGGAGGCTACGGAGTCCTGAAGGGTAACAACGTACCTTCCCCGACCTCTCTCCCCTCCGAGGGCCTCCCCCCGAGTAAAGTCCCAACGACCACGAGCGCCCTGCCAGGAACATTCCAGGCAGTGAATGAGGTGCTGCGGGTGAGAGCCAGTGGAAATGGCAGGTCCCCGAATCAGCCCCACAAACACGTCTAACACGGAAATCACCAGACACTGCACATAAAATCACGACGTTACACACGTCTTGAAGGAGTCCTTAAAATACACATGAGAGGGACGCCTGGGTGGCTCAGTTGGTTGGACGACTGCTTTCAGCTCAGGTCATGATCTCGGAGTCCCGGGATCAAGTCCCGCATCAGGCTCCCAGCTCCACGGGGAGTCTGCTTCTCCCTCTGACCTTCTCCTCGCTCATGCTCTCTCTCACTGCCTCTCTTGCAAATAAATAAATAAAATCTTTAAAAAAAAAAAAAAAGAAGAATACACGTGAGACGCACAGCCTCCTTGCCAATTCCAAAACAGACTAACTTCCAGAAAATACTTAAAAATGTGAGAAGAGTGAGGATTCAATTGTGTGGAAGGGACCGTCAGAAGGTCTAACACATGTCTAGTGAGAACCCAGAAGGACAGGACGGACAGGACGGAGAAGGAGCAGCACTCGAAGAAGAGAGATGTCTGAGAAATGTCAACCATTGCCGAAAGACGGTACTTCATTCTCAGAATGAAAAAATCCAAAGAATCGAAAGCAGAAGAGAGGGAGAGAGAGAGAGAGAGAGAAATCTGGACCCATCGTTGTGAGACTATGGAAAAGGGAAGCCTAAGGGAAGGTCATGGTGGCGGCTGGAAGGACAGACACACGCCCAGCAGGGTGGGGCTCCGAGGCTGACCACTGCTTTCTGAACGCGGCTCTGGACGTGTCTCCACGGTTCCCTCACAACAAATGTCCATAGAGAAATTGCAAACCCAGAAAAGTCATTTTCCAAGAGAAGAGCACAATGGTAGAAATATTTAACGCAAACGAAAACCGAGAGGTTTCCGCAAACAAATCCTGGTGGGAGGAAATCCTAAAGGACGACGCACCTTGGGCACAGTGGGAAGGGATGGGGCGCAGCAGGGACCCACCACGGACATGGGAAGACATGTGTGGGTAAATCCAACAAAACGTGGCCAGTTCTGGGGACCCGGGAGGCCATTTGTCAAGACCACACAGGCTCGGTGTGAACCACTGACGCTGCGGGAAGACAGCATGGGGGCCAGGAGCAAGGCGGGGGGGGACTCAGGGTTCCCAGGGGCACCTGGATGGACAGACAGGGTCACTGGGGAAGATTCCAGAGTGAAGCAGGGTCAGGGCAGGTGCAAGAAGGCCCTCGGGTGCCAAGACCCGTCCACATGGGGAAACTGGGAGGGGGGTGCAGGCACCCATGACAACCCTCCTGCCCCTTCCACAGAGGGGGACCCTGGCCCGGAGGCTTCCAGGTGCCCTGTCAGGGACAGAGGGGACAGCAGGCTCTGCCCAGCAATGAGAGACCGTGGCCTCTTCTCTCGTGGGCCCCATGCTGTTGCTGGTGCACAGGGAGGCCATGTAACTGGTCAGCCCCTCATAGCCAGTGGTGCTTCGCCGGGACTCAGACCCCAGCAGCCCCTGTCCCTGACCGCCCTGCGGGACAGCGCTCCACACCCCGCCTTCCCATGTCCCTCCTCGACCAGGACAGTCACTTTACTCCTCCTCCTCAGCCGTGCACCTGAGCCTGGAAGGTGCCGATGACACGCTCCATGGGGAGGGCAGAGCCGCCAGACCGGCCACAGAACAACTACGGGGTCCTGGACTGTGGGGGCGGCAGTGGCCAAGGCTGGACAAGGAGGCCGATGGTACTCGGGACGCTCTCTGTTTTGTCCTATTTGCCATCTGTGCCCCCTCATGCTGAGCCAGAGGCAGCTCCTCACTCCCGGGACTCCCCCGCCGCTCCCCTTCTCTCTGCAACCCACTGGCACAAAGACACCGCCCGTCGGCGGGAAAGGATGGTTCCAGGGTCGCTGATAGGTTTAACGACAGACTGGGCAGTGAGTCTTTTAAAAAAAGAAGGAAAAGACAATGAGCAGAGAGTGCTGAGAAGCCAAGACACCCGAGTGCCAGCAAGAAAGATAGGGAGGGACCTCCGCCCACAGCACGAGACCCTCCCGCCAGCGCGGCAGCCCCCAGGCTCTCCACCGCAGCCGGCTGCCAGAAGAGTCCGGGCCTCATCCCGTGCGCTCCGCTGCCTCCAGATCCAGGCCCCTCAGGAGCACCCCAGGGGACCAGTCTGGGGCCAACGAGGGTGTCTCAGCTGCAGGGAGCAGTGGCTTCTGGCGAGGGAGGCCCTGCTCCATCCCGCCGAGACCCTCAGGACAGTGGAAGAGGAGGTCCTTCCCAAAACAGAGAGGGCACGTGTGACAAATGCGCATGCCACACTAGCGGCTCTGTTTCCCCGCCGTTCCCTCCTGCTGCTTGTGCCCCTGCTGGCCTCCCCTGCCAGCCTTCACCGTCAAGGTCCACGCCAGCGAGGCTACTGGAGGCCAGCAACCCCCGCCCCCACCTCCTCCGGCGCCGGGACCAGGGGCTGGGGTTGGTGTGGGCCCGGCTCAGACAGTTCCTGCCGTGCTCCTGCCCTGGAGACAGGATGGCCCACAGCCTCCAAAGGCCCCAGGTCAAGGTGGAGCTCCCCCCCCCTCCCCCGGACAGGCCACTCAGCCCCCATCCCTGAAACCCACTGCCCCAGCCCAGCCCGACCCCACAAGGGCACTAAATCTTGTGTCTTGATGCTGTGCTTTGGCAGGGGGCTTCGTGGACACCTCCCTGTTCCAGGTGGCCCACTTTAAAGAGCCGGGGATGCTCCTGGAGAAGCCTACCAGGGTGGAGCTGTACCACGTGGTCCTGGAGGACCCCAGCTTCTCGCCCATAGGAGTGTTTCTGCGGACCATCCACGCTGCCCTGCGTTTCCTTCCTGTCACCTCCGTGGTGCTGCTCTACCACCACACGCGCCTGGACGAGACTGTCTTCCACCTCTACCTGATCCCCAGCGACTGCTGTGTTCGGAAGGTGGCCCTGGGAGCCAGGAAGGCGGGGCCAGGGCGGGCTGTGGGCAGACATGGGGTGCAGCCAGAGATCCCCCCCACCAACGGCTGAGCGGGAACAAGGTGGGCCCTGGGCTACCTTCCATGAGTCAGCTTAGGGACCCTCTTGCCGGGCATCGCCGCCCAAACCGCCTCCATCCCCTCCCCCCACTTCCTTTCCAGCGGTGCCCCAAGTCCCACCTGGCCTGGCAGAGGCCCCGTGCGGGGCTGGGGGGCAGCAGGCCATGGGGGACAGAGCGGCCCCCACCGCCCACACAGACGCGCAGCAGCACCGCCTCCGTAGGCTCAGATGCATTCCGCGGATGGAATTCCGTGGACCGACCCCTGAGCCCCGCGGCAGCCGCTCCCCTGACCACCGCTCTGTGCGCCCCGCAGGCCATCGATGACGAAGAGAAGGCGTTCCAGTTCGTGCAGATCCGCAAGCCGCCTCCACTGGCCTCGCTCTACCTGGGCTCCCGATACGCTGTGTCCAGCTCGGAGACGCTAGAAGCAATCCCCAAGGTGAGCGGGCCAGCAGTCGTTCGGAACCGCCAGGGCGGGGCTGGGGTGGGGTGGGGCCGGGGCGGGCAGCTCGGGCAGGCCGACGAGGGGCAGAGCTTCCAAGAGCCCCGAGAAGGACGCCCGTTGCAGGAAGGAGCTTGATCAGGATGGGCGAGGCTTACCAAGAGCAAGTCCGAAGGTTTGCGCCCTGGGGACTGTCTCGGCGAGCACAGAAGACAGTGGACACGCGCTCCAGAGGCGAGGGCCAAGCCGTGAGCCTTGGTGAACCCCGCATCTCCGGGCGGGCCACGAGCGGCAGGCACGAAGCTGTAACTGGGAAAGCAAGTGGCGCGTTCTGCGAGGGGGCATGTTTGGCGTTTCGTGGTCGCACGGTGACCTGTCCGAAGGGGCCATTAAGTGAGATTGTGCTTGTCCCCCCCAGGACTGGGCAGCGGGGACGGCAGCCTCAGGTCAGTGCGTGAGAACCCCGAGCCCCGCTGCAGGGGGCTGGCTGCCTCTTGCTCCCCTCGGCCGCCTCTTGCTCCCCTCGTCTGGGCAGGAGACAGACGACGTCGGGTCCCCAGATGTGCATCCGTGGAGTCCGGTCTTCACGGCTGCCCAGATTCTGCAGCTCCTGGCTTGCATTGGCCGCGGAGCCAGCAGGACTCAGCGCATGGTGGGGAGAGGAGGGATTAGGGAAGACGCCCCGATCCGCCCTGTACTGTGGGGGGGGGCAGCCAGCGGAGCCAACAGAGGGGTCTGATAGTGGGTCACGTTTAGGACCTGTTAAGACAGGCCAGCAGCCGGCGAGGTGCGGGTTCGGGGTCACGATAGGGGCGGCGGAGGGAGAGGCCTGGTTTAAGCTGTGTGACCGCGTATGCACAGGCGTGTCGTGACTCATCCACGTGGTGCCCGAGGTGCTCCCCGCCCTGCCCCCCACCCCCGGACTCGGGATTTGCGGGGAAAGTAGGAAAAGAGCAGTAGCTGAAGGTGGCGGTGAGTTATCAGCGCAGATAGCGGCGGAGCCCGCCGCCCCAGGACGCGCTCACTGGCCCGCTGCCTCTCCCCGCAGGAGCTGGAGCTCTGCTACCGCAGCCCCGGACAACCCCAGCTCTACTCTGAGTTCTACATTGGAGACTTGGGGTCAGGTCTCAGGCTGCAGCTGAAAGAGGAAAGTGGCGCTGTGGTGTGGGAAGCCTTGGTGAAACCAGGTAAAGTCAAGGGCGGGGAGCTCAGAGGCGGGAAGCAGTCAGTGCTGGCATTCGGCCTGCGTGTACGAGCAGAATTCAAACTCGGGTTACCCCGCCGTCCCACCGCAGGCTCTCAACCACAGGCCACGGGGTGCCACGCTGCCCTCGAACTAGTGGATTTGGGTCACAGAGCCTTTGGCAAAGTTTCTCCTGAACAAGAGCAGAAGAGTTACAGGGTGCAAAGGATCAGGCCAACCGGGGCGCGTCCGACAGGCTAATCTGGGTCTTCCGTGAGCCGGATCTCCCCACCGCCCGCTCTTCAGCATGTTAATAGCTACAGATTCTCCCAGTGTCCTCTTCCCTCTCGGTCTTTAAATTCTTTGCCGTCCCGGTCACCTCCCTCTGTCGGTCCTCCTGCTGGTGATGAGTCTGGATGGGCCCCAGGACCTCCATGGGTGGGTGTCTGTGTGTCCTTCCTGCTGAAACTCACCCGTTACTTCCAAGTGCTAAGAGTTTCTGGGTCGTGCTTAATTCCTGATTCTGACACTGAAATCCAGGACGGACAAATTCAGTCTGTGCACCCCAGGCCAAACAAGGACAAGGAGGTGGATTCCCGCTCAAGGCAGGGACATTTGAAATAGTTCATGTGATGTAGCGAGGGACCTGGGATCCATTCAGCCCGAGATTGGACTAAACCATGTTTTCTGGGATTCTGGTGTGTGTGTGTCTCTCCCACTATGAGCATGGCCTCAGTTTCCCCACATGCACAAGGAAGGGACTCAGTTGGGCGATCGTAAGGACCCCTGCAGCCCTCACTCCAGAGTATGACCAGAACTTGTCCGTAGCTGCTGGTCAGAATCAAAGAATGTCAGAGCGTGGGCGGGGGTTTCAAGGACCCTCACAGACCGTCTCTGTCTCCCTGCAGGGGACCTCCAGCTCGCGTCTTCTCTGGTCCCCCCAGCCCCCACAGGTCAGTAACAGCTGCTGGAGACCCAGCACCAGGGCAGTCCGGGGTGTAGTGTCTGTCCCGGAGGGGAGGGGAGGGAGAGGAGGGGATTCAACCGCTGCATCCCCGACAGGGACCAGGCCTTGGAGGGTGGCGTGGGCCCTGGGACCCTCCTCGTCCTCTTATTCCTGCCCGGGAGGGGCCCTGGAAGCTCCTCCACAGAAGGAGAAGGGGGTCTCTCCCCGCTGGATGGCCTCAGAGGGGGCACCATCATGGCCCCACCCCACCCCCAGCTCCAGCCGAATAATGCTGGACCCTCAGGTGCCCTTCTGGTGGTCAAATGCCTTTGCAGGGGGAGAAGGAGCCAGGGGTGCAGAGGGAGTGAGTGAAGAGGGTGTGTGGTGTGGAGGGGGTCAGAGGTAGGAGCCTCCGTGGGAACTCTTCTGTGTCCGTGGCCAGCCTCGCCCGCGCCCCCCGGCGCCCCGGCCTCGCTGCACTTTCTGGACCGACATCGGGAGCAGCTGGTGGCTCGAGTGACAACGGTGGACCCCGTGCTTGACAAGCTGCTGGGGCCGGTGCTGAGTGAGGAGCAGTATGATCGGGTGCGCGCCAAGGCCACGGCCGCCAACCAGATGCGGGAGCTGTTCAGGTTCAGCAGGTCCTGGGACCTGGCCTGCAAGGATCAGGTCTACCAAGCTCTGAAGGAGACCCACCCTTACCTCATCATGGAGCTCTGGGAGACATGGGGTGGTGACAGAGAGTGCGGCGCCTCCCCACTGGCCCAGTAGCTCCGACCCAGCCCTGCCATGACGTTGGCTTCGCAGAGGACTCACTGGGCCTCAGCCTCTTCCTCTGGACGCGAGTGCCCGTCCGATGGATTGCCCTCTTGCTCCAGGGTCACAGGGCTCCCATGATGCCTCTGGGCAATCTGCTAGAAGCATAACCCTGGAGCCCGGTGTGGTGACCACCGCAGCCCAGGCCTAGAGCCCTTCCCAGATTCCAGAAGGAGCAGGGAGACAGAGGGCCAGCCCCTCCGGCTAGAGACAGATGGTGGGAGTGGACACCTTGGGGGGTTTTGATGACTTGGAAATAAGGGCAATAAAAAAGATTTATTTTTCACTTGTTCTTGCTGAGCTGGGTTCTTCTGTTAGGCCAAAGTGCGCTTTGTCATTTCTGGAATCCAGAGGGGCCGCTAGAACTGGGAGGGGTGAAGAAGGACACCCCCACGGGGGAAATGAAACGGATCCTAGCTTCAACATCCGCTATACGCAGAGACTCCCTGACCTTTCCCCTGTCCTAGGCCCCCTGCCCCGTGCTCCCACAGCACTCAGGGCACTCGACACACGGGGTTGTCCCTCCGGCTTCATCACTGGCCTCCCCCTCACATGGGAAGCTCTCAGAGGGCAGGAGCTGTGACTGATCTGCTCGTCACTTTATCCCCAGATCCTAGCACAGAGCCTGGCACACAGTGGGCCTGAAGTCAGGCTGTATTAATAGGCAGATGGTAAAGGGATCCTCCCCAGATACATCCCTTAGCTCCCTTCCTGGCCACCGGTACCATCCACGGGAAACCAGGGCCGCCTTCATAACAATACCCAAGTCGGTAGGCCATGCCCCTGTCCCAGTGAGCCAGCAACCTTAGAACAGAACCCGTCTGTATTAAGACGTTTACGCCAATTCTAGATTTAAGACATTACACCGTTCTCAACTCAGGAGAGATAGTTCTCCCCAAGATTCAGAAGCACAAGTTGATTGTACCCCTCCCCCCGCGGTCACCCTCCTCTCCCGGAGTCCCTTCTCCCTGCCATCCACTTGGGCCCACATCCCCTTGGTGTAGGAAAGATGTTAGGGTTCGAAGCCACGACAGCCAAGAAAGGATTTTTGAGACATGTTTGGTGCGAAAAGGTGGTTTTATCAGAGCACAGGGACAGGGCCCGTGGGCAGAAAGCTGCTCTGGGGACATGAGGAGTGGCCCACTGTATGCTTTCAAGTTGGGAAGTGGTTATGGTAGAGCCAGCCTCCCAGGTATTTTGGAAACAGAGCTTTAGGACCCTGAGGGGACCTGCTGTTGTTGGGAGAAGGTCATTTATTACTGACCAATCAAACCCGAGTCCTGAGACCCAGCAGACATGTATCAGTGGGGGACAGCTTGGGGGATGACTGCCAGCATGCATCTCGGAAGTCTCCAAAGGAATTTTTGTATGTTGAAGTGGACTTACAGGATCCTGGGGGTCGGGCTAGGATGGCCTTTTGCCCTTAGCCAAGCGTCAACATCAAAGCAGCTGAGTCCCTAGGGCAGGGTCACTCTGCCTGATTCAAGGACCTGCCAACGAGCCAGAGAAAGTAGGGAAATTTAACGATTTGTTTCTCTGCCTGTTACCCACATCAGGACATATGCTCATAATTGCTGTGGGTTTGTGGGTATAGACAAATTTACACCCAAAGTGCGTACCGTTGATTGTAAGTAGAGTGTACTTCAGGAACCGAGGCCGTGGAATGCGGTACGGGGGCCGTTCCACCCCTGAACGCTGCCAGTGATGAGACACTCCCTGCCTCGGGCTGGCTCATCTCACTTTGAATGTCGTGGGCCACGCAGGTGAGCTCTGTCCTCTTTTTGTGGGGGTGACGGTTTTGAACCCCAGGCACAACAATAGCTTTGAGCTGGCTCAGCGGAGCCCACAGAGTCCACAGAGCGGTGACTAACATGCGTTCTCGGCAGTCATGCTGGGCATCAGTAGACAGAACTTCTGTTGGTCTATGAGAGAGAGAAGTAGCTCGACCGCGCTGGAGGGCTTTGTCCTCTGTTGGGAGGATCACACGGCCAAAGTGCCCGGGGCTCGGTAGCCCAGCTGCGTCTCCTACCTCGCTTCTCCAGCCACCATGCTCTCCCTTGATTCTAGCTGCGTACTCTCCCAGCTATTATGGCTTAAAAGGTGACAATGTATTTTGCTCAAGACACTAAAAATCAAGAGGAGCTCAGATCTTAGCTGGAGATAAGTAGGAACTGTAGCCTTTGATGATATAGCCTTAGAAGTCACACATTACTGTGTTCTAATGATTGGAGCAAACACACACACACACACACACACACACACACACACACACGCCCCAGTTCCAGGGGAGGCAACCGGACCCCACCTCTCCATTAGCGACATTTGAAGACAACCAGACCCACACGGGTAGGGTAGACTTTGATTAGCCATCTTTGGAAAATACAATGCATCCCACCCTTCGAGCAGTTTAATACCCTTTGCCCTAGAGGTGTCTGACTCACAATCAGGCTTGCATCATCCCAACCTAGAAGAGAGGGTCAGCTTCTTATCTGGCTCTCTGCCCAGCATCCTTGGTTCTCAGAAGACATGTGTGATCATTTGTCACTACAGATCATAGACGTTGGAAACATTGCTGATTCCTTGGATTTGGGGGCAGGTCTGCAAAAGGTAAGCTGACGAGGCCGGGACCCATGCCAGGGGGGTGTCTGGGAACCAGGGAACCAGGCCCCCGCTGAGCACAAGCAGGTTCACCCGCTCACATCAACACTCCCACTTACAAGAAGCCATCCCTGGTCCCAGGGGCGGAGCCGTCTAGGAGGCTGCCCGCGTTTCATGTCTGCCGTCCACCCACCCTGGTCCGGCCTTTCTGGCTTGCTTTCGAATGGGGCACCCATGGGGGATCAAGTGGAGGAGGAAGGTAGCCTCCTCCTTAGGAGAGACGTGAGGGGAGAGCAAGCTGAAGGTGCCGGGAGTGAGAAGGTTGGGGTGCTAAGAGTCGTCCTCAGCAATGGTGGAAAACTGGGGGTCTCCAGCATCGCTGTGTTCCGGTGAATCCATCCAAGATGACTTTTGTCTCTCCTTAAAGTAAGCTGCTTAGAGAGGCCCGTGTGAACCGGTCAAAGAATTCATTCGTGGATCTGGGATTTAAGGCTCCCATTGGCAAAGGTGCTGCTGGGGTGGTAAGGCCTGGGCTGAGCTCAGTGGCTTTTCTGAATCATTGCCTCAGGGCCCTTCTAGAAGGCAGGCAGTACCGGCCCGGATGATGAGAGCAGTACACACTTGAGCTTGAAGCCATGCCCTTCCTGTAACCCAGGCCCTAATCTTGGAACAGGTGGAGTAAGGGAGTCCCCCCAAGCCCATGATCCTAGCGCTGTGGTGGGCTGTCTGATTGTCAGGGGTGGGTGGGCCCCAGCATGGTGGGGAACTGGGAGAGAGAGCAGGGGAGGGGGAGGAAAGCCGGATGGGAGCATGACTCAAGGGTCCTTGAGTCATGAGTCCTCGCTCTGTCCCTGGTTTCCTAGCAACTGCTGCTGAGCTTGTGGTTGCTAGGCAACGTGGGGCCATCCAGACAGCTGGGGGAGGCCCTCTGTGGGCGTGGGCACTGATGAGAACATGGGCCACAGGCCACTGTGGACCCTGAGAGTGGCCTCTGGTTCTCACCTATTAATTGTTTTGGCTGCTCAAAAAAATAACATAACAATGGTACACGGAGCCTGGAAAAAGGAGAAAGCCATCACCCCATGATCTCGCCATCCAGACAGGGCGAAAAGGACCCTCTTTACCTTCCCAGTTGTGGCATCTCTCTACAGGAATACATTTTCATGGCGTTGACATCCTAGCACGTGTGGTTTTAAGTCCCGCCTGTCCCACGTTGACTGGGATCATCACGAGGACCCTCCAAGAGTCTTAGTCCTTCCGTGTGAAGACGGCGCAGGGTTCCATCTTGTGGGTACGTTCACTGAACCCCCCATCCTCCCGATCTAACCCTGAGTTGGCTTCCACCAATCCTTGGCCATCAATCTGGCAAGAGACATCCTTCTACAAGGAGCTTTTCTTTCATCTTGGATCCTTGGCTCTACATCAGTAGTAAGAGGTGAGGGGCTGCTGTGAAAGGAAGTGAGTGTCCATGTGATGTTCTAGCTCCTGCTCAGTGGCTCCCCTCTGAGGCGATACCCTCAGTGCTCACACGGGGTCCTGGATTCCCCCAGACAGGTTCTTGGCCACCTGCTCCCCTGTCCCCCCGAGCCCCAGGCCGCATACAACAAACACAGCACAAGCAGAGACCAGAATGGTCCTTGTGCTCTGCAGGGTTCCCCGGGTCTGTGCTCAGAACCGTGAGACCACCACGCGCAGGAGCTCAAGGAAGCCTGCTGGAGAACTCAGTCACCGGACCTGCCAGACGAATGACCAGATCCAGTAGAGATCAGTCGAATCAGCTCCACCCGGGAGAACCTGACCCTCAGAACTGCAAACAAAGCCCATGCTTTTCATTTTGTTTTGTCTTGTTTTGCCCAGCTGGTATCTAAGAAGCAAAAACTCAGCGAGGTTGTTTTTTTTAGACCATGGCCTTACTGAAGGATGACTCTCCTGTCATGAGAGTCACCCACGTTACATGGACACAGCGATGAATTTTAGAAAAATTCAAGAGCTGTGCAACAACCACCAGCGCTGGGGTTGAGGACGTGCCTGTCCCTCCGGAAAGCTGCCCCAAGCCCCTCTGAGGTTCCTCGCCTCCCGCCCCGCTCTCCCGCCCGGGCGATCTCCCATCTGCTTTCCGTCTCTGTAAATGAGTGTGTCTGTCCTGGGTATTTCCTGCAAGCGGGACCATACAGTCTGGGTCTTGCGCACCTGGCTTTTCTGCACTTACTGAAATGTTTCTGAATTTCCTCCAGGAAGCAGCTCTATTGTGAAGTATCCCCCCGTGGCACGGCTAAGCCACCTCGGATCACCCACTTATCACCTGAAGAGCATCCACATTGCTCCTGGGTCATCACTGTTACCGGCAGCGCCGCTGTGGACCTTCCTGGACAGTCCCTGCTTTCGCGTGAACACCCGTCTTCCTGTCACATGGGCAGTCGCTGGCAGTGGAATTCCTGACACTGGCACGTGTGTGTTTAGATTTTTATGAAACCACCAAACTGTTTTTCCAAAGCCACCCCACCTTTCTCACATTCCCGCAGGAGCGTGGGAGGGTCGTAGCCTCTCCACCTGCCTGCCTTCTAGAAGCTCCGGCAGCTGACGGTGGCGGGGAGGAGGTTGAGATGTGAGTCTGCTGCTGCCAACCGCCATTCATCCTTCCCCTTCCTTACTCATTCCACGAATACTGTCTGGGCCCTGCGGCTCCGTGGTGGGCTCTGGCCCAGCCAGGGATCCATGGCAACACCGCAGGGTGGAGAGATGGAGAGGTCCCTGGGACATGTCCACTGCACTCCAGGCCTGCTTTCCCCTCGGCCTTTCCCTTACAGGAGGCCATGAGCTCCGTGATGACAGTCTGAGCCTGACAGCAAACGCCTCCATTCCCCCGGACCCCAAAAGCCCTCGTGGCTGTTCCCCCCGCATTCCACAGGGGTACCCTGCTGGCCTTGGAACCCCCGCGTCTGAAGCCTGTGGTAGCGCCAGTGGAAGTCAGGGAAGGGCCTGGGGGATGCCCGGAGTGGCCTGAGTAGAAAGTACCCGCATGTACTCAAACCGGAGCCGCCCGCAGGACTGGGTTTGGGGCGCGGCCTCCAGGATCACCGCAGGGACAGATGCACCCGCAGGGAGGGGCCGGGAAGGAAGAAGAAGGAAGGAAAGGCTCCATCCATCTCTGGGCCCTGGGATAGCAGAGGGAGCCTTTGTTTTGTTCCCGTTTTTGCCTACGGGCCTTTCTAACTTTCAGGTTTGCGACAAGGATTATGTATTTGTTTTTTCCATGTATTGCACTTTAGATTAAAAAAAAAAAAACAGAAACAGAAAGACCCGTAAAAAAAATTTTCTTTTAAAAAGACAAATACAAATAAAAATAATTACTATTTTAAAATGGTAACTATGGAAATTAAAAAAGACAAATACAAAAAAAAATTTTTTTATTTTTTAATAAATAAATAAATAAAAATTTTTAAAAAGACGAATACATCCCCAGGGAAGCTCCGCGCGCAGCTGGGGTCCTCGCCGGGCCCAGCCTCGCGCCTCGGGGTCCCCACCCGCGGCTCGCATCCCTGCTCAGCGCCCCGCGCCCCGCGCCGCGTTGCCATGGGAACAGGCCGGCGCCGCGGCGCGGGGAGGAGCCGGGGGAGGTGCGCGGCCTAGAGGTCCCCGCCCCTCCGCGGGCAGAGCCTCTGCGCATCTCGGCAGCCGCCCAAAGCGCTCCGGCCCTCGACCCCCGAGCTCCTCGCCCATGGCGGCCCCGCTCTTCCCGCGCCAGCCCTGGGCCCCCGCGCCCACCCTCTCGGACCCCGCCGACGACGCTGGCGGCCTGTTCGACGAGCCGCCCCCAGAAGAGCACCCCGCGGCCCGCGCGCCCCGGGCGGTGGCGGCGGCGGGCAGGAGGGCCGGTCGGCGCGCGGGCGGCAGGGTGCAGGGGGCCCGCTCCGGGCAGCCCCTCAAGGCCGTGGCGCGCCCTCAGCCCGAGGAGGAGGCGCCCGCGCGGGACGAGGGCTGCTACCTCGACCATTTCCCGCACCTCTCCGTCTTCATCTACGCGGCCATCGCCTTCTCCATCACCTCCTGCATCTTCACCTACATCCACCTGCAGCTGGCCTGAGCGGCCGGGGCGGGGGCTGGGGGCGCGGTGGGCGGGACGGGAAACCAGGGCTCGGCGCGGCTGTGCGGGAGACGCGCCGCGCCCTTCGTCTGGCTTCTGATGCTTGCTGCTTTTGTCCTGTGTTGTCACTGCCTTTGTTTCCCGCTCTTCTGGGGGCACGTCCGAAGTAGCGGCCCATAGTGAAAGGAGGATCCGTCCGCCCCCGAGATCAGGGGAGCGGGCGGTCATCCCCCGGCGCTTGGAGGAGCGGGTTGCGGCTCACGGTTAGGATCATGTCCCTGGACCCCACACTTCCTGAGGTGCGAGCAGGCGCAGCGAGCCCAACCTTCGGTTCCTTAAGGGACGAGCTTCGGGAGAGGGCCCCGCGGGGAGGGAGGGTCGCGCCCTGGCCCGGCCCGGGCCAGAGCCCTGTGATGCTGCATCGCCCCCCCCGCAGCACAGCCAGACGCCCCCGAGCTGGAGGACCTGAGCGCCCCGCGGACGCCGCCGGAGCGCAGGACACGGTGAGTGGAGATCGTCCGTGGGGGCGGGGGGCGCATCGCCGCGTCCCCGGGGGCGTGAGCTGACCCGCACCTTGCGTTTTTCCTGCCTTAGGCTTTGCTGCCGCGCTTCCGGGCTTGGCCGAGACCCACAGCCAGAGGGCTTGGCCTGGCAGGAGGCCACGCTGTTGTCGCGTCCTGGATGGCGTGGGACCCGCGGCTGCAGACCTCCGGGGACGCGGGCCCCTCGCTCGCCGGCGGCGCAGGATGAGACGGAGTGGGGCCCGGCTGGGGTGCGCGGGAGGGCTCTCTCTGCGTCTCTGGCGCCTTCAAGCGGGCCCTGAGCGCTGCCGCAGCACTGCGACCCAAGACCAGGGTGTGGGGTATCTGTCATTAGCCAGAATTCCTGCGGAAAACGATGGGGGTTGTCATCTCAGACAGAAAAGGCCTAACACGGAAGCCCACCTCGGGAGTTTCTCACCTACCCGCCATCCCTTTTTTGCTCATGAATGTCAAAGTCCTCAACTCAGCTCTCTCCTGTGTTACCTGGAAATGTCTGTCTTACCTCTGAGGAAATAAATCCCTTTTTCAGTCTCCTGGATACTGAGTTCTCGCTTAATTTGGGGCCAAACTGTGGGCCCGCCAAGCTTCCCAGTCTGCTGTGTTTCACCCCATAATCCTGAGAGCATCCCTCCTGTCCCTCCCAAACAGGTGTGTCCCATCATCAGCCTTCCCAGGTGCCTCCTTTTCCTCCACTAAACAGCCACACGGGCTATTCTCCCTATCGGGCTCCCGGGAAATGCCAGCATCCAGGTCTGCTCCCTCCCTGTGGGTCTGTGACTGTCCCCTGTGGCTTCACCAGCACCCCCTCAGATTGAGTCCCCGCCTGCTTCCATTATCAAGACGCTTCTGCCCCAGTATGGTCCCCCAACTAAGATCTAGAATCTCCCCCCCGCCTTTCACCCAGCTTGTGTCTTTATAAGCTCAGCGTGATCCAGTACCAGAGGCTTGTCTCTTCCCAGTCCTGTGCTCCGGTGACCCACACCACTGCAGGGCTCAGTGTCGCCTCTCTGCATTTCGTTTCAGTGCTGCAAATAGGATGCCCACTGTTCCCCGCAACCAGCCTGTGCTTTACACCCCCAGTTTACTACAATGGTGGCTCTATTCCCCAAAATTAAGTCTCTAAGGCACCCGCAGTAGGTACCTCTCACTGGTTTTCCTGCCTTCGGTCTTGGATATTGGATCTCCTACTGACTTTAATATCGACTAACCCCTGAGTCCCAGTAGGGAGCTCCGTGTTCTCCAGACACTCCCACTGTCCCCATCCACACTTCTTGTAGAACCCTCATTCGACAGTCCTTCTGGGACGACTCAGGATATGATCCCCCAGTACTCTCCCCTCTGCTCATGCCCGGAGAGTAGGATCTCCCGCCATTCCCAGAACCAGAGTCCCCTGTTCCTCAATATACACCTCCACGTCCTACCCCAAACTCCACTCTCCAGCTCTTGTTGCCTGTACAGCCTGAATGTAGGCTCCAGTATTCTCCCCAGTGTCCAGTCCCATTTGGCTCCCTTATTTCAGGATTCACTGTGTGGCTCCCCCAACACTAGGACTACCACTGCCTCTCTGATACGGTGCTCCAGACTTCCCTAACGTTCTCCGCATCACTGCTGTCCTTAGTACTAGGCTGCCCCCACCCCCGGACTGAATTGCATTCTTCCCATACACCCATAATCTCCCCCTATAAGTCCTCCCTTTCTCCATACCCTGATATTCCTAAAGCTCCTGAAATTTCCTGTATCTCTTTGAAATTCCTGATTCCACTGGGCTCCGGTGGGAGCTTGGCCCACGTTTTTTAACCAGTATTAAATTTCTATCCTCCCACCATCCGTGTGTACTTTCCGCATCCCTTTATGCCTGACCTGGCCAGTTTCCTCTTACACAGTTCAAATATCCCATATCCCCTGCACTGCCCACCTACTTTCACGGTTGCTGCTTCTCTACACGGAGCTCTCAACTGTCCTCCAACTTCTGGGCTTCCGATGGAAGGTTCCTTTGTCTCGAATATCCAGCCTCTCCACTCAAGTACGAATGGGCTGTCTCTTCAGGGTTCAACCATCATAAACAAATGGGTCCATTTGGGGGATGCTTTGGCCACATTGCTGAAGAAACAAATCTGGAGAGCGTCCTCCTGACCGAGCTAGGGTCACGCACCCACCTTTGGCCGGAAGGCGGAAGAGCTCACTTGACACGCAGCCCCGTGAAGATAGGATCGATAGGAAGGAAGGTCTCCCAACGGAAACTGAAGTCATCACGACCATGGAGGGTGGGCCGGCAAAAATCACGAGACAACCGGTAACGTGACTCTCAGCAGATCACAACTGACAGTGGGAGAGACTACAAGGCAACTTGTCCTAGGACACACTGAGCTGCCGGGGGTGGGTAGGCACGTAGAGGCAGTGACCGAACAGTGGTTTCTGGATACCATGGGACAGTAGGAACTTTATGTTGGGGGACATAGTGGGAATTGAGCCGTAATCGGGAGAAGAAATGGATCCGTTTTTTTAAGTGTTTCATTTTTTTCTTGGGTATCTAGCACTGGAGATAGTCATTATTAGTAAGACAGCTAGAACCCGGACCTCCATGGAGCCCGCTGTGTTAATAACGGAACCTACGGTGTGACGGCGCGGATGACTTACCTGGCCTGAAGGCTCTCGGCCCCGTGAGGAGTTTCTTTTATTTTCCCCATTTTGTAGATGAGGAAACAGACATAGGGGAAGTGATCTGGCCAAGGTCGCAAGACCTGTGAAGGACTAGATGACCCCAGGCATTGTTTCTGGAGTGTGTAGTCTCATTGTTCTTAGAGCGTCAAAGCTCTAAGTGACATAGAATTCACATGCCACAGACCTAATGCATTTAGTATCAAGATTAGGATATGTCGTTACCCTGAAAGGAAACCCTCCCTTCACCCCTTACCCATCTCCCTCCAACCACCGCCACCCGCCCCCATCCCTAGGCAAACCCTAACGACTTCCTGTCTCTATGGCTTTGCCTGGTCTGCACATCCCCTGTAAATGGGATCCTGCGGCATGTGGTCCTTTATGACTGGCTCCTTTCATGTAGCATGACGTCTTAGCAACGTGTGGCGATGCCTCATTTCTATTGCTAAGTGATATTCCCTGTATGGATAGACCAGGTAGACCAGGTAGACTGCATTTTACTCTCCAGATGGATACCTTGTGTTCAGTTGGGTTGTTTCCCTTTTGGGTTACTGTGACTAACGCTGCTGTGAACGTTCACGTTCAATGTTGTGTGTGCGGACACGGGTTTTCATTCCTCTAGGAGTGGCATTACTGATTCACAGGGCAACTGGACGTTTAGGCATTCAGGAAACCACAAGACTGTCTCCCAAAGTGACTGCGCCATTTTACATTCTCACCAGAATCACAACAGGGTTCCACGTTCTCCACTGCATTGACAAAACGTTATCTTTCCCCTTTTTAAGTCATAACCTCAGTGTGTGTGAAGTGGAGTCCCTTTGTAGCTTTGATTTGCATTTTCCTGACGGCAATGACATCCAGCATCTTTTCCTGTGCTTGCCAGCTGTCTACCTTCAAAGAAGCATCTAGTCAGGTCTTCTACTCATTTTTTAAATCATGACATTTGAAAAAATGCAAAAGAAAAAAATGTTGGGGGTCACCTGCCTGCGTCAGACTCTTGATCTCAGGGTCATGAGTTCAAGCCCCATGTTGGTGTAGAGATTACTTAAATAAACCATGCCCCCCCCCAAAAAAATCAAAAACATAAAACTGGGCCATTTGACTTGAATTCTGAGTTCTTTAGGTATTCTGAATAAAGCCCATCATGAGGAATTATTTGCAAAATGGTTCTCCCATTCTGCGGTCTGCCTTTTAACTTTTGGGACGGTATCTTCGACATGCCAGGGGTGTTTTAAATCTTGATGATGTCGTTTATCTATTTTTTTCCCTTTGTTGTTTGTGTTTGGGGCATCTAAGAAGCTACTGCCTAATTCAAGGTCAGGAAGAGTTAAGCCTGGGTTTTCTCCCAGTTCTATAGTGTTAGCACTTCCATTCAGATCTTTGATCCGTTCGGGGTGTGTTTTCGTACATGGTGTGAGGTAGGGACCCAACTTCAAACACCAACGGCCGACAGGGTATGTAATGAAGCCTGAAGAGGAGGGGCCTTGGAAAGCCTCCTCATACCACCATGCCGGGCCCAAACCCATGGGGGCAAAAACTCCTTCGTTCGGGGCCTCCCCATGTGTCTCTTCACCTGGCTGTTGAGTCGCGTATCCTTTGAAGTAAACCGGTGGTCTAACGGGCACACAGGTCTCCCGAGTTCTGTGAGTCTCTCCAGCAAATGACGGAGCCCAAGGACGGGGCCACGGGAACCTGGGATGAACAGCCAGGTGGACGGAAGCCCAGGTTAGCGACCAGGACTTGCGGCCAGTGTCTGAGGAGCAGGGCAGCCATGCTGGACTGAGCCCTGGACCTGGTGAATCTGTTATGGCCAAGTAGGCAGTGTCAGGATTGAGTCGAACTTCAGAGCACACGCAGGTGGCGTGGGGACCGCTCCCCCAACCCCCTCACACACATGAGGACTGAGTGCAGACCCTCCTCCACAGCGGTCCCCTATAGTCCTATTTCTAGAAGGTTGGTAGTTGTAGGAGTGGTGACAATACTGACCCCATCGCTGCCTCTCCTTGTTCAGTTCGAGCTATGACCTCTCTTCGGGCCACATGTTCCGGGTCCCTCGGAGAATAACCCACAGGCCTTGGAAACGCCCACACAGGATGAGGGGAGGCTCGCTCTGGCCTCCCTGGACTCTGTTAAGGATAACGGAGTCCTTCCCTGTCCACATGGATGGAGCCACAAGAGCTCATTCAAGGTTAGCGGGAGGTCAACGAGGAGTTGGCTGCAAGTTCTTTGAGGTGCCTGTGGACCCTGTGAACTCACTACAGTGCCCTTCTGCGGGTCCCCTTGCTCCACAAAAACCTGCAGACGGGCAGGCCGGACTTGGTGGAGAGTAACTGAGTTGCTGGAGGGTCGACCGCCCCTCCTCCAGCAGCGAGTTCCCCTGAATAAAACTGTGTTAACGTATGGGGTCACCTGACCTGTCGATTTGGGGGACACCCAACTGCCCTTCCCCACCTTCTAACCACAATCATACTGGCTCTTTGCTTTGCGTTGGCGCCGTGCCCAACTCTCGACCCACCGGGCGCCTGGCCCTGCGGCAGGATGGGGAACAGATTGTAGGACAGATGCAACAGTGAGAGAGAATAAATACCAGGGGAAGTGTGGGACCAGGCATCTGGGGAACCTGAAGGTTGGTTTTGCAAAGTCAGAGGCTCTAATGCAAGAGAGTAGGAAACTCAGTGAGAGGGGGGCTGGAGGAACAGGTCCATGAAGCCCAGAGGATAACCTGGGGCTTATTATCCTTTTTTCTGAATTTCTGAGGGAGGAGTTTAATTATCAGAGGACAATGGGGCCAAGTAGATTGATTTGCTCCTGCAGACGACACTACTGCAATAAACAGTACCAATGTCCCCAGTTACTAAGTGCCAGCTCAGCGTGAAACGAACTCCTGAGATTTTTGGTTTTTTTCTTAAGCCGGGTTTGGAGCCTGATGCAGGGCTCGAACTCACGACCCTGAGATCGAGACCTGAGCTGAAATCAGGAGTTGCACACTTAAGCGACTGAGCCACCCAGGGGCCCCTAAACTCCTGAGTTTTAAACACTGTGGACTTCACCCTTCTGTCCAGATTGCGTCCATATTCTAAGTGCATTTGGGTGAACCATATTATTGTAGCTATGAGGCCAAACGTGCGTCAGCTGTTGCTTCCTTAGTAAGGACCAATCTCCTTCTGAGTTGAGTATGCGAACACCTTAGCTTAATCAGGTCTATTTTTTTTTTTAAAGTTTATTTATTTATTTGACAGACAGAGATCACAAGCAGGCAGAGAGGCAGGCAGAGAGTGAGAGGAGGAAGCAGGCTCCCCACTGAGCAGAGAGCCTGATGCAGGGCTCGATTCCAGGACCCTGAGATCATGACCCAAGCCGAAGGCAGAGGCTTAACCCACTGAGCCCCCCAGGCGCCCCTTAATCAGTTCTGAGTTAACGTGTAACAAACCTCGTGAGTTGAGAGAACGGAAATGCATTCCTCCCTGCCCCAGAAGCCAGAGGTCCCAAACAGAGCCGTCAGTCCCCGGGGAGATGCTCCCACCTGCCTCTGCGGTCACCTGCCCCCTCCTCTTCTGTCTCCAATCTCCCTCTGCCCTTCTCTAGTGAAGACACTGGCCACTGGATTTCGGGCCCATCCAGGTAATTCAGGACGCTCCCCCATCTCTAGATCCTTAATAATTCCTGCGAAAGACCGTTTTTTTCCAAGTGAGGCACAATGACAGGTTCCAGGAATCAGGACCTGGACATACCTTTGGGGGAATCTCCACTTAATCCTCTATACTTGATTTTTTAAATTAATTTACTTACTTGAGATCGAGAGAGAGAGAGTGCATGGGCACACACAGGAGCGGGACGGGAGAGAGAATCTTCAGGCAAACTCCACACCGAGCACTGAGCCCAGCGCAGGGCTCTATCCCATGACTGTGAGATCATGTGAGTCAAAACGGAGCTGCACGCTTCACCGACTGAGCCACCCAGGCACCCCTCTACAGGAGGAGATTTTAAATAAGCCACAAACATGGGCAGCCTGGCTGGCTCAGTCGGTGGAACATGCGACTCTTGGTCTTGGGGTCGTGAGTTCAAACCCCACCTTGGGCCCTGAGATTACTTAAAATAATAGAAAATCGAAAACCAAAGCCTTTAAAATATATGTATTTCATGTACAGGATTGGAAAAAAAAGTCTTTCATAATAAACATATTCCAGGTAAACACAGGCACCTTAAATCTATGAATATTTGATCACAAACATTAATGTCCCGAGTTACTCTCCGGCATAAAGGAGAAGTCTGAATCCCGTTCTTTAGGAAGACACGGAGGGCAAAGTCTAAGAGCGGGCACTGCTACTCACGCTTTCTCTGCGGGACGTACGGACTGATCTCATGCAGTGTCACACGGATTCACTTCAGAAGAAAACATGAGACTCCACCAAATTTAAGTGCAAGACAGCTAAAACCTCCCTACTGTGGGGACTAAGTACTTGATGCTTAGGAGTATGAATAAATAAGTTAAAAACACTAGGTACAGGGGCAGGTTCCAAAACTCACTGAAGTATGAACAAAATGAATAAATGCCCAGCGGTCAGCTCACATCGGCTTTGCCATTGGCTCTGTTCCAGGCCTCCCCTTCTACCCCGGTGAGAGCTGCCTCTTCTCCGTCCACGGTCGTCCCCTGCTGGGCTCCCAGATGCCACATTGTTCCACCATCACAGAGAGGCTCCAGCTCAGGAATGAACTGAAGTTCTGTGCTTTTTACTGAAGATCACGGCTGCCGTTCAACTTCCTTCTCTCCCTCAGCAGACATCCCCGTGGAAGCCCCGCTCGCGCCCAAGGGCAGGCAGGCTGTGATGTGTCGCGGGGCAGTGGCTGGTCTGTAACGAAGCCCCCCACCCTACCTTCTTTTCATGTGATCGTATGCAGAGAGTAAGTTGAAAGGACCAAGGTCACAAAGGACCCGTGACCGAGGAACAGCTTCACACGCGTCTCCGACCAGCCAGGGAGAGCCCTGCCTCTCCAGTCAAGGGGCCCAGCGAGTTGCTACTGGACCAAGGCTTCTATCCCGCCGGCGAGAGGTCTCCAGGAAACAGACGCTCCAGAGAATCCAGACGTCCCCGACGGTGAGAGTGACCTCAGCAGAGCAGGCCAAGACAGAGGGAGGTGCGGGGCGCGACAAAGAGCAAACAAAGGAAGTCCCATAGCGCGGACAGCGCACAAGAGTGTCGGGACAGAAATCCCTGCTGTTCTGCTTTCCCACGAGCTCCTGTGCCTCCTGAGAAATTAAGATATTTTCATTCTTTTGCTTTCCCTCTCCACAGTGTCCCTGATGGTCTGGAGTTTTCTGGAGTTCTGGACCAGGAACGCCAAGCTCTCCCTAAAGTCACTAGTCCCCTGATTTCTGCCGGAGTTGTCCAGCTCATCAAAGAAAGCCAATGTCTGTTTAAGTTTGGCCTCAATGATTTTTTGTTCCTCTAATTCTGCGAGGAGGGCCTGCTTAGCGCCGACTTCAGTCTTATACCTCTCTTGCAGCTGTTCGATTTCTTCCTGGAGAAGCTGGAATTCTTCCTCAGTACAAGGATGCTTCTCCTGAGGCTTATCTTCCGGAAGCAGGATGTGCGGGGGGATGCGCAGGACCAGCTGCAGACACAGCTGCTCCATTCTGCCAAAAAGGTTATCGAAACGGCCTTTCATGAAGCCAAGAAACTTCTCGGTGCATTTGCGAATCTGGATGGGGCTGATCTCACAGCCTGGCATGTCGGCCAGCTTCTTCAGGATAACCTGCTCCACGGCCTGCATCACCTCGAACAGGTAGTCCTGAAACGCGATGTAGATTCTGAGCATGCAGGTCTGCGGCGTGAAGCCGAAGAACTGGGCCTCGTAGGCCATCGGGTCCACGGACATCTTCGCTCCCTCTGCGGGCCTGTTTCTGACTACGAACAATCTGCCAACGCAAAAAGGAAAAAAACCCTTTTGGATGACATTATTTGATGAGAGCGACAAAGCCCATCGGGGAGAGCCAGGAAGCCAGCAACACAACCCAAGGAGCGAGCGCATCCAGAAGCCCGCCACTGCCCGCCACCCTCCCTGTCCACAACACAATACAAGCCTTGCTCTCTGAGGTTCTTTCCTTCACTTCTCATTAACGCTGGTTCTGGCCCAGGGCTCCGTCTCCTGAACTCTGCTATCGTCCTGGACCACTTTCACACTCAGACAGACGGCCTAGGCAATGCCCGAGACGCAGTGGCCTCCGTCTCCACTCCTCCAGCCACCCGGCCCCTCTCCCCACGTGCCCCTGATCACAGCCTTATATGCTATTCCACCAGCCCCTCTCCACATGCTCGCCTGTTTCACTTCCTCCCACTCCCCTGTGCCTTCCTTCAGGATCGAGTTCAAACTCCTTGAACACGGCTTCCACGGGCCTCCGTTACCAGCCGTTTTGTCTCCCCCCTCAAGGACCACGGACATACAGCACAGAGTTCATTCATCCTATCTTCCTCTCCCATCTTTCATCGCCCATAGGAACCCACTCTAGTGTTTCAATGGGAGCCTTTTCAATCCACCTCTAATTCATCTTGGATAGGTTTTAGGTAGTTTTTTTTTTTTTTTTTAAGATTTTATTTATGTGACAGAGAGAGAGAAAGGGAGACCGCACGTGCACACAAGCAGGCAGAGAAAGGGAGAGCCCGAAGCGGGGCTCGGTCCCGGGACCCTGGGATCACGACTGAGCTGAAGGCATGCCCATCCCCGTGACCGACACCTGGTTTGCTGTTAGCACCCAGCTACCAGACACCATGCTGTACGGAACGCCCTCCCGCAACACCTCCTCGGGGACCTGCGGGTAATTCACATCGGCCAAGTAACTGCTGGGCCACGGACCTTACTCAGACACGACTCCTCACTAAATACTGTGCTAAATACTGTGCGGAGTTCTCCAGAACATCTGGGGAGGGGCAGGGCAGGCTGACTGACACTCCCCCGTGCAGTTCACGAAAACTTCTCATGTCTTTGTCAACACCGGATATCGTTCCGCTTTCTAATTCTTGCCAGTCTGGTAGGAGGGAAGTTGTTCTACAGAGTTGCTTTCTGAAAACCAGAACCGGGGCTCCTGGGTGGCTCTGTCGGTTGAGTGCCCAACTCTTCGCTTCGGCTCAGGTCGTGATCTCGGGGTCCTGAGATCGAGCCCCATGCTGGGCTCCACGCTGGGTGTAGAGCCTGCTGAAGATGCTCTCCCGTCCTCTGCCCCCTCCCTCCCAACTCTGCGTGCGCTCAGGCACTCTCTCTTAAAAAAATACCAAATTATGAGATATCATTTATAAAAAAGAAAAAGAAAGAAACCCAAAACCATGCACGTACCCCACACACAGGCTGGACACGGAGGGCTGAACGTACACTCTCCCCATCCCACCTAACCTGCTGCCTACATCAGCATGACTCCCCTTTTCTGGGAAACCAGAGTGTTTTCACCATTCAAAGGGATGGACTCTTCAATGGGAAGCGTCCATAACACGGACCGTAAGATTCCGAAACCCCTGCCTCACCTGTTTCTCCCAACCCGGGACAGTGAGTGGAGGACCCCCACCCAACCCCAATCAAGCCCCACAAATGGAAAGAATCTGCTCAATCCACACTTGGATCCTCAGAGGTCCCGTCCTGCCCTCCATCCCAGACCGGACGGCCAAAGCTGCCTGGAGGTGTGCTCCCTCACGGAGGCAAGCAATTCGCCCAGCAGGGCTCACTCGTGGGCTGTGGGCATGATAGCTGGGGGGCAGGCAGAATCTTTTACTCTTTACTAACTCCTCTCCACACCCAGCCTGGAGCTGTCACTCATGACCCCACAGGAAAAGTGGCAGGCGACACCAAGTAAAGGTGTTTTAACGTGGGTCTCTGGTGGCCGGTGAGGCTGCGCACCACCTCCTGCACACGAGCTCCTCGGGCTTCTCCCTCCGTGAGGCGCCCACCGGCACCCCAGCCAAAGCCAGCTCTCCCGGCCTTTACGCGGGTGCTCCCTTATCCGCCCCCTGATGGTCGCTCCCTGCTCCAAAACCCTAAATGCTTCCTTGGAACCGCGCCAGTCAAGTCTGACACTGCCCGTCGGACCGAGCTACCTTCCCCCCACACCCCCGGCCCTCCATGTTCTCGCTCCTTCAAGGAAAGAGGCTGGGGCCCAGCATCCTCCGAGGGCCCCGGGCGACCCAGCTGCTCTAAGCTACCGCAAAACCTCCCCCTCCCCAGGGTACCCCCCCAGCGTCTTTCCCTCCCCAGCGGCTCCCCCTCCCCAGGGCACCTCCCCCCAGCCCCCCACCTCCAGCGTCTCCCCCTCCAGGGCCTTCCCCACCCCAGGGTATCCCCACCAGCGCCTCCCCAGCCCCGGACGCCAACGCCGCTCTCCGCCGGGAAGCTCGCCGCAGCCACGCTGGGCGGGGACCACTTCCGGCGCGCCGCGCGCTTCCGTCGGCCCCCGCGGCCCCGCGGCATGCCGGGAGCTCGGGGAAGGCGGCGCGCGGCCCGGCCGGCGGGCGCCCCGAGATGCTGCCGAGCGCAGCCCTGCCCTCCCCGATGCTTGGAGGAGGCGATGCGGCCCGGCGGCCCTTACCCGAGCGGGGGCGAGGGCGACGAAACCGACCACGCACCGCCTTCCCGCCGCCGCCTTTAAGCCACCGCCGGCCGCTGCGGAGAGGCGGTCCCGCTGGCTGCCCGGATGCCGCCCGATTCCGGCCTCGGCGAACTGGGGCCCGGGCGGGACGCCGTCGTGCTCCTGATTGGCCGGCGGAGGGGGCCGCCTCGCTCAGACGCGAAGGGGCCGGGCGGGAAGGCCATCTGTGGCCGGCGCGGATTGGCGCACGGACCGGGGACTTCCACGCCTCTCCCCGACGTCGCCGGGCTGGCGGGCGGGGCGGATGGGAGGGGCCCCGTGGAGGCGCCGCTCGCGATTGGCCGGCGCGCCGTCCCCCGGGCTGCGGCGGTTGGCGGCCGGCCGGTGCGCGGCGCTGATTGGGCGGCAGCGGGCTCTGGCCCCGCCCGCCACCGGGGCGGTGCGGCGGAAGGGGAAGTGGGGGGGCGGTGGCGGTGGGGAAGATGGCGTACCAGAGCCTGCGGCTGGAGTACCTGCAGATCCCGCCGGTCAGCCGCGCCTACACCACCGCCTGCGTGCTCACCACCGCTGCCGTGGTGAGCGACGCGCCGCCCTCTCGCCAGCGCCGCCCCGGCCGGGGCCTCGGAGGCTGCGGTTCGGGCCGCGGGGGAGCCCGGAGGGGAGGTCTCCGAGGCGGGTGGAGGCGTGCGGGGCGCCCGCCGGGGTCCCGGGAGCCGAGGAGGCGGTGCCGCCCGGCAGGGGTGCAGGGCCGGGGCTGCGGGCGGCTTCCGACAGCGGAGGGCCGGACCAGCGCGGCCGCGGCCGTGGGAGCAGCCCACCCGGGAAGCGGGTCTGGAAGGCGTGGCGGGCAGGGGCCGCGCTGACCAGCGGGCAATCCGCTCGGCAAGGACCCGGCGCGGGAGGCGGAGGGCTCGGGCTGCCGGGAGGGAAGAGCCCCGGAGAGGAGCGCGGGCCTGACGGCGCGGGGTCCGCGGGCTCGGTTCTGCGGGGCTTCGGGTGGGGGCCGGGCGGGGGCACGTGCGTGGCGGCCGCTCCTGCTGCCCCGGGGCCAGGGTCGGCCTCGAGCCCCGCAGCAAGGCGCAGAGCTGAATCTCGTGTCCGGCGGACGGGGTGCGGAAATGGCAGCACCCTACGCACAGTCCTTTCCCGGCTTGCCCGCCGGAGAAGGCGGCCTTCGGGGGTCCGGGCGGAGTGGCAGGGCTGGAACCTGCCGGGCCCCGCCTTCTGCTGAGGACGGCTTTGCCTGAAGGAGCCCTTCTTCCTTTCCAGCAGCTGGAGCTGATCACACCGTTTCAGCTGTACTTCAACCCCGAGTTGATCTTCAAACACTTCCAGGTACGGGGCGGTCACCTGCGCACTCTGTGTTCCGGTCGTTAAGCTTTTCCTCCTGCTTTCTGCTGGCCGATCCTTCCATATGGTATCAGTAGGCTTAGTGGGAACATCTGATTGTTTTGGGGGGGCGGGTAATGATGGGATCCTGCGTCCTGGTTGGGCCTCAGAATCACCGAGGAAATGTCGCAGAGAGTCACCCACGGCAGGAGTTAAGACTGTATTTTGTTTGTAAGATTCCCTGCGTGGTTTTGATTTGATGTATCTGGTTCCCGTATGTGGAAGTTAGTGATTCGGGGTTAATACCGTAGTTTGAGAGGAGACTGGCCAGCCCAGGGAGAGCCTCAGAGGATGCCCACGTGTCCGCTCACCGGCTCGGTGCTGTCACCAGAGTCGGGTTCAGAAACCCAGCTCTCTCAGTGCTTTCAGAGTGCTCTGTCTTCCAGGGATCAGCCGATATTAACAAAAGCCCCAAAGACGGGCTCCTGAAACTGCATGAGAGTTTACTGGATCCGAGTAGGAGCTAGTCCTTCCCGGTAGTTAGAATGCTCAAAGAAAGATGTGTTTTCCTCCTCCGGGATGATCAGATAGCCTGCGGTTGGAATGGGGGAAGGACCAAGAGTCAGTAATTTTCCTCTACACTTGCTGTTCCCTCTGTCTCGAATGTGTGTCCTTCACTCTACACCCACCGAGCCCCAGCTCTCGTGTGGCTTCCCAGACTGACCCTGCTCTGTGTCCCCAGGATTTCCGGAAATACTTCCTTCAGAGCCTCTCCCTTCCTTCTTGCACTTACTGAGCTGCTTCTCTCCTTAAGCTGGGGACTTTCAAATCCTGGAGACAGTTCGTATGTAGAACTGAACTACGTCCCCTCCATTGCCAATGCCAAGGGATCGAATGCTGCACGAGGCAGTCCCGGGGACTCTTGTCACTGCCTCCGTCCTTCGCCACTCCCCGGCCTCTGCTGAGCGCTGAAGCTGCATCCGAGTTTTGCTTCCTGTTAACATGCTGGGCTCGATTTTGCCCAGGTTACACTCTTGATGACACCAGATACCCGCGTTTGGAGCCGGGTGTCCCAGGCTTGGATTCAGTCTCCCTGTACAGGTTCCCCTGGGCAGGCCATTTCCATGCTCTCCAGTTATGCCCGTTTCCTCCTGTGTAACACGGGGTTGGGACCACCAACCCCGTGTCTCACAGGCTTACTGAGCTCCTAGGAGATTGTAGATCATGCTGAAACATTTTACAATGTGAAGCTCTCTCCCGTTGTGAGTAGTTGTTTTTATTGTGGGTGTGGATGGGTTGGGTGGGGAAAAGCGTATCAGGGTTTCCAACAAGAAAATGACTGTCATTGTATCTGCCAATTAGACTAATTATTAGAGCATTAGATCTTATAGGGAGTTGGCCGTTCTACTCAGACTAGAACCTGAGTGTTTGTTCTAGAATCACTCTCTTCTCCTGCTTTTTCTTACAGACTAACACAGAAGCATTTCCTGGCAGTTTATGTGAGGTTTCTGGAGTTTCTCTCTGGTTCCCAAGACTGCCCACTAGATTATAACACTGTACACACGAAAGCATCGCTTCGGTTCTGCAAATGAACGTCGTCTCTCCATCCAACTTTCTCTTTAATTTTACTGACCATATGGTATAGGTTTTGTTTCATTTTGTTTTAAAGACGACGACAGTTTTAAGCATTCTCAGCAGATCTCAGGGGCTGAGTGATGTCTTTCAGACTTCAGCTGGAAACAGCACAGAAATCCAGTGTCAGGTCGTGTCACCCCACTTTCTGGTTCAGATCACAGTGTCACTTACTTGTGGCCTTTCAACCATCGCAACCCCAGGAAATGTCTTCTGTCTTAATGTGGAGATGTTGCCCGGCACGTTTTACTTCATCTGTCTTATCTCGATTTTTTTTTTTCTTTTAACAGATATGGAGGTTAATCACCAATTTCTTATTTTTCGGTCCAGTGGGATTCAATTTTTTATTTAACATGATTTTTCTGTATCCTTTATTAATTGGGGTCAGCGTAAAACCCGGTGGTGTGCGTAGGGAATACAGTGTAAGTTAAAGCTACTGAGGCTGCTTGTTCCTCTCGTAACGGTGATTTCTGGGTGCTGCCTTTGTGGTACAGACTGGCCAGTCGGAAAGTCCTATTTTGAGGGTGTTTGTTGGTTCCCGTTTGTTCTAATGGGAGGCGTTCACCCAAAGAGTGATTACACTTCTGCCTGAAAATCCCATACAAATCCCATCAAGGGAGAGAAGTGGATTCGTTGAGGCCTGTTTGGAGCATAGTATCAGCAGGGACCCAGGGACGACAGTGGTAAGTCCCAGAGTGTCGGTACAGGTCTGAGAGCCCCGCAGCGGCTTCTTGGGGACTGGAGGACGTGAGATCTCCCTGGATCTTGGTTGCGGGTTCTACCGGCTAGAACGACAGTGCGGTGTGTCTTCCCAGCCGGCCACGTGCTGCTTGTTGAAAGAGGGGAAGGAGGTGCTCTGGACAGGTGCTAATGGGGCCCCTGAATGGGGATCCCTCCTGTACCCGACCGCCTGGATTGAGAGGGAGTTACAGCCCAGCGTGCAGGAGACCAGGCCTTGTTGGGGTGATGGGACCCCTGCCCGACGGATTCCTGTGTGATACACCATCCTGGTAAGTTCCTAATAATGAGATCTTTTCCTCATGATACGTCTTTATTAACTGAGGTGTCAAAAGGCCAAGTCTGCCTGGCCTGCCGAAACAGGCAAGGCCTCTTGCCGGGCGCGTCTTCTGAGTTAGCTTGTGAAACAGCAAAGTGGTTCAGATCGTGGCGGGGCTGAGCTCGGGGCAGACCGAGCTTTGAAAAGGTTCTGTAAGTCCCCACAAGCACGTGTGTGTGGCCTCGGGCTTCGCTCCCCACCCGGGAGCGGTGTGTGCCACAGGCAGAGATGGTCTTCCCGGCGCCTGAAATGCCAGGCAACAGGGACGTCCCCACACTAACCCTCGTGGACGCGCTCACAGAAGCGAAGGTTTGGCTGCGTATGGCTGATGCGGCGGCCAAGTGCACTGCAGCCGTATGTTAAACTTAACCTTTTTCCCACTTGTGTGCTTACTGTTTTCTTAACTTGAAACTTAAGATACCGCTACTGTCGAATGTTAGAAGAAGGCTCATTCCGAGGTCGGACGGCAGACTTTGTATTTATGTTCCTTTTTGGTGGATTCTTAATGACTGTATCCTTCAACAAGTAGAGTAAACACGGGAAAACGCTCAGGAACGCCTTCTGTCTTGCTGAAGCCTCCGCCTGCCCTCCACGGTCCGCTGGACACGCTCAGCAAGCCCACGGAGCAGCCCTCCAGACCGTAGCTGCGGGCACGGCGGATTGCACGGCGTCCTCTCTGTGAGCACGTCTGAGCCACGGGGTGGGCGAGCCAGAGGGGCGTTTAGCCCGGGTGGGTGACTGTTAACTGCTTCAGGTATGGGATTGTCCGTGCGTGTACTTTTCTTTTTTTAAGAGTGTTTGTTGTGGGTGGAGGGAGGGAGAGAGAATCCCAAGCAGGCTCCATGCCCAGCGTGCACCCCAGCACCGGGCTCGATCTCACGACCCGGAGATCATGACCAGAGCCAGAACTGAGTCTGACGCTTAACGGATTGAGCCACCCAGGCACCCCCCAATGTGTGTACTTTTGAACTAAGTTGGTAAGACATTTATTTGGTCGCTATCAAAACTGATAAGTTATTATAATTTAGATTTGAACGGAGTCCATTCTGACAAGATGCTTTGGATCTAGC